CCGGAACAAGAGGGGCTAGCACCGCACTGATCCTGCCAGCGGGCGACAGAAGTCCCCGTCTGCCACCCAGGATCACGTCGCCCGGCGTTTAACCTATGGCTGTAAAGAGGCCAGATAGGCTCGGCGCCGGCGACCAATTCGCCGACGACGGAGGGCAGGGGCCTCCGGGTTGCTCTCCCTGGCCCGCTCCGCTGCCTCCTTCGCGCTGATGACCGCTTCGGCGAAAGCGGCCACCGCCTCCCATGCCTCCTCGCTGCCGACCATAGCCGAGATTATAGCCGGCAACGAGAGGTAATTAACTTACTTCTGTTTTAGCATTTGCCAATTGATATCTTGAAAAACAGAAACATTCTCCCGATTACCTAATAATTATATTATTGCTTATAATGTTTTATTACAGTTTTATCTTACTATTTGTATAATTACGAGGGTTTGTTTGTGTTTGTTACTTAATAACTCAAAAACTAGAGCAGCGAGTTGGATAAAATTTCGTTGTATTAATTTTATATTACCCAACTACAGAGCCCGTCCGACGCATGGCTTCCTTATGTCCCCTTAATATTTAAAATATACAAGCTCAACGGTAAATTAAAAACAAGCAAACTAAAGTTGCTTAATACATGTTCGCCCTAGTTTCGTTTAGCAAGTAAAAAATTATTAAGAGAGGGAATAATTTTTCAGTTAAATTTTAAATAATAATAATAATAAAACTCATGAAATGAACAATTTATTTTTCTTTAGACAAAAGTAATGTAAGAGAGACAAGACTAGAGAATCAAATGGTAACCAAACTTTTTATTTTATTAATAAGGTACAAATTAACAGGAATATAACGCTTAAAAATGATGAAGTAAAGTCAATTTGTACATAATATATGTAATCATAGAACGCTTTTTCGAAATGAAAACATAACAGTAACGCTATTTTCACATTACACGATTTCGCTCGTGCGGGAAAAAATTGCCCGGGCAATTTTTCTTGATCGACTATTGAAGAGTACGAGACCTTTCACATTGCACGATTTGAACACGGGCACGTTTTGTAATCGTGTTGCAGCCGTCCAGTGCTACTAGAACCGCACGGCTACCGTATCGTCCTCTAGCCTAGTGGCCTACGAGACCAAATGCACGCTTTCACACTAGACGGTCTTTAGTCGTACGGGAATTGTCCCCAGTCTTCAGTTTCCCATGTAACTCATCAAAGGAGCGAACTGACATACGAAAGTAGTTGAAAAACTTTTGGTCATCGTTTCTAAGATATTCAAATAATGTGTGGAACATCCCGACTTCCTCTCGTCTCTGATTAATTCGGTGAATCCAGTGAAGGCGATTGCGCCTTTGTCTTTTCCGACGCCGATACAGTATCCATAACGCAATAACTTGTTCGCAATCCATAACTTTCATCCAGACCCGACCAAATGTTCCAATGAACTGACAAAAATGTACGATTTTTATCGTTCAATGTGAAAGTAGCAAAACCACGATTAAAAATCGGGCGATTTTTTCCCGCACGAGCGAAATCGTGTAATGTGAAAATAGCGTTATGATACATGTTACGTTCATACTACATATGAAGAAATAAATGAACATCTCCGGGGCGACTTCTTTATATGGGTAAAATATCATATAACGAGTGACGCTGCTGACTCCGCGGAACGAACACCAAGCCGTGTGAACCAGAAGATTCCTGATACCGCACAAGCCATGGAATGGTATTACCATCCTAACATCGGGGCAATCATGTAGTCTTAGATATAGGTTATAAGTTTTAATATGTAATTCTCATTATAATAATATATATAAGTAAGTATCGTAATTTTCCTGGAACCTCCGGTTGCGACCCTACATAATTTACACAACAATATTTTCCATCGTTGATAACTCTATCATCTAAATACATATTGAATTTTTGTTACTCTTATACTAACAGTCATTTAAAACCGTCCTTTGAAGCTACATATATGATAAAATAAGAATCGGATACACAATTGCTCCTCTAAATACATATATAGAAGACTTAGCATAAATAAATTTAATGAGAGTAACGACTATAGGTGCCGAACATTCACATTTAACTGTTATTCAAAATATAATAAATATTGTACCATCATATTATTTCCTTGTTTCACCTCTATACAGCCATAAAAGGTCACAGAATACAAATAGAAACTACTTTCAACGTAAAAGCAAAGCTAAAGAAGATAAAAATCCTTACAAATAATGCCGTTCCCCCAACATTATTACAAATATAAAATTTCGACAAGATGTTGATATGGGAGCCCCGCCAGTGAGTAAATCCAATTTTTAATAAACTCGCAATAGAGTCCGCATATCAATAGACATTTAAAGGATACACTCTTAAAGCTAAATTTAAAGCTAAAATAAAAATAATAGCATTGTTTACAAGCTGAATTCGTTACGTCTTATGAGTCCATTTATATTTACCAGCTGTTTTAATTCCTTCATATAACCTGGTCACCCTACAGTTACCCCTCCGAGGATTATTGTTTACGTTATTTGCGGATTATACGCGCGTCGGCTTCATATCACTCCATTCTTATAACTCCCTCCACAGAAACAAATAACATAACAAAACAAACAAATATTCATAACACTGTTATCGGGACATATTTTTCTTGCAGTAAATCTAAATATTGCCAACGGCCCACGAGAATTTCTTATTTCAATGAATATTTAAAGGATTATGATCGTGAAATCATAAAACAATATCCTTGTGACTTCTAAACATAATTTATACCAAATTAAAAAAGTAAAATATAAGATCATGTAATATATTTAATTTCTCAAAATTTCAATAATAAAAATTCTCCAGCAAATATCGTCAGGAAAGTCTCGGTTTTCTAAATAGAGCGTATTAGCATAATCACACCGAACATCCCTAATTAGCGTTTTGTGTACTTCACCGCATTACGCGAATTATTTCCTGCTATTAGAGAATTGCCAACATGAAAACTTTAATTAACCGCCGTTCCTGTATTTTCGGCCTCAGTTTAGACTGTAATTAGTGTATTTACATAAAATCCGACCCGCGTTATCTGGAGTTTCACACAGAACTTAAAATTTTAACTTAAATATTTTACAATTTTTATGAAAATTATGTTACAATTTTTGTTAAGGGTAGTGAAAAAAAATAATATATCTTATTATTGTGTTTTCATATGCCTGTTCCTTACCCCGGTGCAGCATATTTCAGTCGTTATCGAGAAGTCTGTAGCAATTTGGCAGCCAGCTATATAGGGCAACGTTATCTTCGTTGGCTCGCTGTTCCAGTTGCCTGATTTGTGATTCATTTGTAAAAACTAACGCACTATCCTTTGGCAAAATTCTCTTAAATAGATGCTACGATAAATTGCCGACTATTATGGTCTAATATGGCTTGTACTGCTTTATTATTTATTCCATTATTATGAGGGACGTCTTGAGCGGTGCGTGCAAACAGTGTGTGGCATGCGTTCCCACGTTACAAATGACGGCTTGACCAACTGACCCATACTTACACTAAACATATCGGAAATTTACTCAAGAATTTACCTCTAAATACGTAAAAAAAATATCTTCTTGAGAGATACGCTTACTTACGTAACTTTTGTATGTTACTCATTGATGATTAAGCATCTACAGTCTGCAGATGAAGTTACATATATCTTGTCGAGCTAACCTATACATACCTGACGTAAATTACAGTTTACATTATAATGTATTAAGAAAACCGCTGCGAATTAATATTTACAAATAAAGGATAAAGCGCTCATGTTCTTAAAGGACACTAACTCGAATCAAAATTAGCAACTAGCTACGCCTACATTCCACAAATATGGATGAATTTCTATACGTAAGCGATAACAAATAACGTAGTGATCTCTGAAGCGCATGGTTTTAGTGCATTAGTAGAAATGCATTATCGGATCATTTAAAAAGCTCACGCTATGAAACTTTTGTGAAGCAAAATTTTCTTGTCTTTTGACATAAGTCTTCATTGATACTCTTATATTTTCGTGATGATTTAGTTTGTAATCTTCAACAAAGAGACAAACTAACACTGATTTAATTTGTTGATTTGAACAAGTAGTTCCTGTGACAACCAGGAACAAAAAAATTATTCAAAAAACCACTCAATAATATTAATAAACATAGAAAACTAGCTGACCCGGCGAACTTCGCACCACTGTACATCGAATAAATGTTGCATACACACAATTGCAATGGTTCAGTGTTATAATTAATTATAGTCAGATATAAAAATAATCCTAAGAATTCAAGTATATTATACGGAGGGCGCCACTTGCAACACTATCGTTTCTTGACTTGTTACGTGCCAGCTACTATATTTATGTATTTTACAATGTTAGTTCAACACTTCTTAATCGGATGCAGTAGTTTTCTTTACTTGCTTAAATGACAATTTCACAATTAGCGCCAACTTCCCAAAATACAAAAAAAATCCTTTGAATGTTAAAAAAAGTTTTATCAGCTTTTCAGTATAAAGTATTTAATATTAAAGAAAAATAAAGACAATTGCTTATTATTTATTGAATAAACAATATAATGACATATAAACCCTAACATAATTCACTAACATCATACATCCAACCCAGAGACGACAAGTAACAATATAACACCTAATTTACAGAACAGATGCACAGGCTATACTAACATATACTATAGAATGTTTTAGTCACTTTCATAATATTACAGAAAAAATAACATTAAAATTACAATCAAGTCTTCACTTCATAACCATTTCCATAACTGATGAACAAACTCGCAGTATCATCAAATAATATTTTTAGCATTATTTAATATGGCATCCATTAAAATTAATAAAATGGCATCTTTATAAACATAAAAAAACATGATTAACTAAACGTTTAAAATCAGAGTTCACTAAAAAAAAAATTAAATTAGTATTCGACAATTAAAAAGTAACATACAGATTATTAAGATTCTTTATATTAGGACTATATCTAAAACTGTACAGCCTCATTGTTGGTCATGTATACTCTTCCGTGTGGACCTCCTCGGTGTGATATGTTCAAGGTTGACTTCTTTGAGTGTGTTGTTCTTCCTGGCCGTTTCTTCCTTGCCGGGTGTCAGTATGCTCCTCCTCCTGCTCCTGGTCATGACAGGGCTCCTCTCCTCCGTAGCGTCCTGCCTGGTGAGTCTGGACCTCCTTCTTCCTTTGTTTTCCTTCTCAATATCGTTCTCTATATCCATGGACGATATCCCGCTGTCTGTGTTCTGTTCTGTCTGTAGTTGCTGTCCGTCCTGGGTCTTCACATCTTCTGCATCATGAGTTTTCTCCGAGCTCATTGAATTGTTCTGCAGCTCTGTATCAGAATCGTTGAAGAGCACGACTTTGATAGATTTCTTGGCCGATTTCTTGGTGGACGGTTTGTTTTTGAGTATACTGCGACCGGGAGTAGCTCCGAGGTCCACCGGAGTGAATGTTATCAGATTATGCTGGAAACGGAACAAATATTGACTGCTTGACAAACATAACTTTTCCCTTAAGTTTTATTAGCAAATTAATAGAAATTTAACGAACCTCCTCATCACTGGATCCTTCACTCTCTACCTGGCGTCCTATGAGTGATGCTCGGAGCATGGCAAACGATGCAGACTTCTAGAACAATACGAAATATCACTTTAATGCAATCATTATTCAGATACTTAATATTTTAAAATCTTTAATCCGTTACACACCCTATTGGCAGACTTCTCTGCTTCATTAGACAGCACGGCCTTCAACAAGCTGGGTTTGCTCGGGGTCACCTGTAGCGGAGACTTCACTGGAGATTGAATACAGAAGAAGCCCATGTCTATAGTTTTACTTTCCTCCGTGGAAACCTCCTCGGAGGACTTGGCTTGCTTGGCTTTGCGTGCCGCTGGAATGAAAAATTATATATTATGAATAGGGCCCGGATTAATATGTAAATACATATTTTTAATTTACGCGATTTTCGGTCTAGAATGTGTTTTTTACATGGACTGTCATATTTAGACTGTGAAAAACCAACTTTTATTTTCCATATTTTACCATATTTCAAAGTTAAGTCCATATTTTACAAGAAAATGTCACAATCATCCATATATTCGCAAAAATACAAAAAAATAAAAGTTTCGAAGGCTGTAGACTTGGCTTACAAAATTACTGAATTAAGCATGTTTAAGTATGCACCCAACACGTCATGTGACTTGAGATGAGACCAATCAGCAGATATAAGGCTATATTTCGACCAAATCGTCAGAGTTTTAATTTTGATAATTTAAAGAAGCACGTCATTGTGTATTGCATTGCAACCAATTTGATAAGGCTAGTGTAATGGAAGTTGAATAAAACTGTTATTTTTTGTTGAAATAAATATTTCGTTTCTTTTTTCATCGGTTTTTAAATGTAACTTAACGATGTAAGTCACGAGTGACCCTTTTCTTATAGTAAAACAATGTTTAATTATGAAAGTATTTAATTTTATACTCCATATTTTTTCCATATTTTTGATTTATTCGTCCATATTTTATGTACATATTTTAGATTTTTTAATACATATTTATCCGGGCACTAATTATAAATAAGTTACAAACATGATGTCAGATGAAAACTTCACATTTAAATTTACCTAAATATGTTTAAGTATACAATTTAATGTGAGAAACATATTACATACTAAGTAGTGAATTAACACAATGGTAAGTCCAAGTTATACTGGATACAACTTCAAGTGAGCCCCACATAACCTTAATAGGCTAGATATATGCTTGATGATTATTTTGATAACATTCTGCTATCATACCTGCTATGAGATCCTTTAGGCGGCTGTTTCCAGGGCGGACGGCTGGTGCAGGGCGGGCGGCTGGTTGAGGGCGGGCGGGCCTCGGGGCGGGGCGTATCACCCGCGTCGGAGGCTGATCTTCACTCCATCCACGAGAACGCAACTCCTCCAACTTACGGAAACGCATATCAACGTTCTCTATCTGAAATAGTTACAATACGTGATATATTGACTGAATCATAACATTGGGATATCTTCTCCCTATATTTTACATGCACATATATTTGGTCAATCTAAATGAAGGTTGATGGAAGAAAATCTGAGAACCATCCATATGTCATGCCAAAAATAGTGATAAGGGTTCAGTTACTCTTGAACAGCTAATAATATCTCCTCACCTGCATGAACACCATATCCCAGAAGCCGTGAAGGTCACTTGGTGTGACGAGCCCACTGTTAGGTGTGGGGTGTTCACAGCGGGACAATAGAGATGCAAACTGCTGCAACTTCTGAGACATCAGCAGACGAGCCTGACCCACCGCTGACAACACAGCCTCCTGATAATGTTAATAGTTAAATGTAGTGATAAATCCAAACATTATCTTGTTACTAATATAAAAATTATAAAGAAATCTCTGGAAATATATATAAAACTTAGTAAAATCATCTGTCAACATTTAAAAATGTGATACAAGCAAAATAATTGTCATCTCAAGATGCCAACACTTAATAATTTAATTAATTGAATACAAATATGTCCTCTTGGACTTCATTTTAAATATAATAGTATTGTTACAATTTATGTAAAATCTTAATATAACAATTTCATCTGACAAATTATTCTGACCATCAGTTCTGAGAATCTTTTTTCTCCACAATACAAACATAATTTAACTGAGGCTGGATTAACTGTCCTCACCGGTGACATAGAACATTTTGGTATAAGTATTTGGTAAATTAAAATACAAAACATATTAATGCCTTATATTATTTTAGAATAACTTAAACCAGCTAATTTAAAAAAAATAGATAAGATTTTTGTTTCAAGTGAAATTTTCAGGAGAGTTTGTCAGTTTCCAAATATAACATACTTATACCATGTGTTAATAGTTATTACTTTAGTATCATTAAATACAAGTACAATAATATATCACGATATTCACAACACCATGTAATTTTTTTTTCTGTGTAAAATTTACTGTTTGTGGTGTACAATAAAGTATATTCTATCTATCTATATAGTCACATAGATCAGTTGTCTGACCTGAACAGTTTCCGGGAGTGTTATTTGATGTGAGATCTTCTCCCAAGCCTCACACATTTCCGTCATGCGAGCAATTTCTGAGTCCAACTGCCGACGGAAATGTTCAACACTATCCATCTCACACAGATCCTCGTCTAAAAGACCTGGAAATTAATAGATTACAAAAATAAGAGGGGATTGTTAGTTTAACCAACACAAGACATTAATCAATTGTTATGGAAACTTTAATACAAGTTATCTCGAGTATCTGTTAAGTTCATCGGTCAAGCAACATAGGAGTCGTGTTTGAAGTCAAATAAGATTTAAAAAACATTAAGAATACACTGTGTATCTCTTGGAACCCAAACCAAACTTTATGTGAACATGAGAAGTACCAGTTAATAGAAGAATATATTGATTAACATACAATATTCCCATTTCTAAACTCTTTCTTATGTATAAGACATATTAAATGGTAACTAAACATTGTTATTTATATCAATGTACCTTCTTCAAGCTTCTTCTTCATCTCTCTCCTGGCGTTATCTTTGCCTCGTGAGAGTGTCACACAGGGGCTTATTTTCTTAGCTTCATCGGCAATCTGTTCAGGAGTCATCGGTATTTCCACCAGTTTTGGTGATCTCAATTTCTCTTCAGAACTTGATTCACTCTTTGGCACATTTTTGGGGGTAACCATGTTTTGTTTATTTTGTAAGGATTTTCTAGGAGTCCTAGATTTTGGGGATTTGGTAGCTTCAGGCTCATCATTGTTTGATTCTACACTGCTTGAAGAGTGTGAGGTAGATTGTATGCTAGCATCAGCTTTCTTATTTTTAGTAACCTGTGTTTTAACCTGGCCCTTGTCTGACTGAGGCCTACTACGAAGTACCCTGGATTCATTCTGTTTTGCCTTGTCTTTTAGAATTTTACTCTTGGGCTCTTTGTTTTTTTTCTCAGTCATATTAGTGTTTGCTTTCTTTTCCTCTTGCTTAGGAACAGATAGTGTTGGTAAATTAACCATATTTTTCAGTACCGGTGGATGGAATACAGCATTTTTTGGTGCAAACGATGAGACAATCATTTTGGACTTCCCCTCGGTCTTGGAAGGTTTTTTCACATTGTTAACTGAGTTGTTCTTTGCTGACTGTGATCGGGTGACTCTGCCTGAAGTGCTGGGCATGGGCTTGGGTGGCGGTGGAGGAACAAACTTCAATGGGTTGTGTGGTACTCCCGCTACAAATGGTTTCTTCTTCTGTAAAGAAGCCTCCTTCTTTTTCTTTTCTTTCTCCTCCTTCCATTTTTCTAGCTGCATCCTCCTGTGCTCCACTTTTTTCTGTGCTTCAGGTATTGGGGCCGGGCTCTCACATCTTGGAAGATTCCTTATTTTGTCAAACACAGAAAATCGAGTAGTCCGTCTATTCCTGATGCTGCTCTCCAACCGTTTCTTAACCTGCAAACCGAAGTTATTCTATCACAATTTTATAATACAACATCCACGTCTAAAACTATCCCATGTCGGTGATGAATGAATCTGACCTACCCCATGCATGATTATCAAACTATGATTGTCTCTACAATATGATTTTACAATTTAACTGGACACAGTACCCCGCCGACGACGCTTACGAACTGCACGGGTTTGCTTTTGTGTTTCTTCTCATGAATCTGCATCAATGCACCGAAATCGAAGCTTCTCTCTGAAATTAAACGTTTCAGTTACCTTTAATTGATGTCATAAAACAACTTTCGATAACAAACTGTACAGCATCAAATTTATAATAATTATCTTATATTGATATACATCGTATAATAATTTGGAAACTTTGAAACATTGATCAACGTCAATATTACGTACCCATTAGAAATACCTGAAAAAAAAACACAAAATTAAAACAACAAAAGCTAAATTCAAATATATAACTGTTGCTGTCACTAGTTTAAAACCAAACAGGACGAGGATTTCAACAGATAAAAAAAATATTTAACAGAGGTACACAATAATGAAATGCTTTATAATATTATAAACTCTACAATGTTGTTTCTAATGTTTTCCAGTGTCTTTTATTAAAAATTTATTTATATCAGTTGAATTTTATTGCTAAATTTAAAGGAATTAGTGTTCAAGTTAACATTTAAATTAGTTTATTTAGATTAGTAAATATATTTTTTAAGTTATTTTTATTTCAGATTAAGTATAACGCGATACAATTTTTAACTATTAATTAAATTGGTCACTACAATTTTTATCTTTAAAATTATTTTATTTAATGCAGTTTTTAGAAGATTGGCTTTTTTATTGGACTGAAAGTTAACCATTTAGTTTCCGATGACATGTTTAATCTATTATAATTGTTTATTTTGCCCTCCATTTGTTAAGTACGTTGTTTTTTAATTAATATAGTTTTAATTATTATCAAGAAAATATATTTCAGGTCAAAATCAGACAATGACATGACAGTCTGCTCTGCTTATATGCAGCGCCATCTAAGATTAGCTCTAAGCTTTGCCTTTGCCACCCTATTGCTTTCCAAAACCTATTTCGATTTTCCCTAGAAAAACGTCAGGCACCATTCAATATGGGCTTGAAATACGCTATCAAAAGCTAGTTATAGCTAAAATATTGCTCTAATTGTAGTGTTATTGTTATTTTAGTTTCATTTTGTATGTACATTGTGTAACTCTTACATTAGTCAAAAATGGATACGTTTATCTTAGGCTACTTCGGTTATGGCGTTTGTTGATCACTAAATAGTTTCGTTCGGTTGATTATTTTCTTTTAATTTAATGTCTGCTTTTCGTTTCTGATCGTCTGTTTAGTTTGTGTATACGTGTTTTTTCGAAATGGTGAAGGAGAAGCCTAACTCGATAAGGATATATGACGACGAGGGGTTTAGGCGCCGCGCTGCTTGTATATGCGTACGATCGGACGCCGAAACCGAGGTTAGCATGTGAATTGTGTATCATTGAATGTGGTATCGTGATGAAAGTGTGTCTCATGTTTATCGATGCGTAGGTGTTGCTAGTGACGTCTTCTCGGCGACCTGACAACTGGATCGTGCCGGGTGGCGGCGTGGAGCCCGAAGAAGAACCGTCGGTCACAGCGATGCGGGAGGTGCTGGAGGAAGCCGGAGTCATCGGCAAGCTGGGGAGATGTCTGGGAGTCTTTGAGGTCAGTGAAACATACGATAATCACATACTACGGGAAGTAATTTCAGCTCGAACATCGCAATTTCAAAAACATCAAAGCAATATTCAATTATTAAATATCAATTATTCAACGAAATTAAAAGAAAATTTAATGCAGTAAACAAAAAAAAAACTGATGTCATATAAATATTTTTTTCAATAAATCAACATTATAATAGTTGAAATATAACATTATAAAAAGGCTATTAGCGTTTCTTTCAATCACATCTTGTCAATATAAAAACAATAGGACATAATTTATCTTATATACAAAGTTCTAAAACATATCTTATTAAGTCTGATTATCTATAAGAACATTCAATAAGTCTTAGTAATTATGCAACAGTACTATGAACTTTGTTTCAATAATTTTAAAAACACTTTAATAGCATTAAATTTGTAGAAAGTGTTCTAAAATTCAATTTGCTCAAGTTGTAGAATTTTTTAAAAATGAATTGAAGCAAGGCCATATAAGGTAATTGTTATTTAATTTTTAGATCCTAATTTTATTGTTTCTGTGTTAAATTAATTTTACTTTCAGTATTAAGTAATTTTAGTTAATTTTAATGGTACATGTCTTAATCTATTTAAAAGCTTGTCAAGGTGTCATCCCAATAATCCACTTAATAATTAATACTCTTAGTTGGTCTTTAGTAAATTGTTTTGCTCATCGATTCCCATTACATTTACTAGTAAGCTTTAATTAGGTTATGTTAATAGTTTTTTAATAATCAATACTACTTATATTAAATGTTATTGTATAATATATTTCAGAACCGAGAGCACAAACACAGGACGGAGGTGTATGTGATGACCGTTACTCAGGAGCTGGCCGAGTGGGAAGATTCACGGCTGATGGGACGCAAGAGACAATGGTTCTCCATTGAAGAGGCTCTGGCTCAGCTCGCACTCCACAAACCCATCCAGCGCCACTATCTACAGCAGTTGAAGCGCTCCAAGAACAAGTCCGATGATGCTAGCTAGGCCTCCTCCGGCTTAACAGCACTGCGTTGTAGCTTTAGGTTGCAGTGCCGTCTTTAAACCGGGTACTTGTATCAGTAACTCGGTTCCTGGATCACCATTGACCACACAGGCTTCAATATACATTTAAGCATATCTATAGCTTTTGTACTACTTGCCATTACTTTGGTATTTCGAGAGGTCATTATTATTAATTTATTTAGTCACATTTGGTCAATTTGTCTCTCATCCATCACGTAAGGTGTGGACGGAAAAACAAATTTTAATGAAAATGTTTGCTACAATTTTATACATAGATTGTAAAAATACAAATCCAAGCAAAGCACTTACAAAGGTTTTAAAAGAGAATGTAAAATATGTAAATGTGAGACAACACAACTTAAATTATTTATTTCTTTTTAAATATTTGCTTTACATGTATTTATAATATTATTTTTTTTTAGTTTTAAAAATATTGCTTTGAGTAATGAAACCGTTGAAGTGAGCTATGTGAATTTGTATATTTGTGAGGAGTGTAGACGCTGGATAGATTTATGTTCTAACAATTGATGTAGTTGTTAGTTGTAAGTTAATGATACAATTTTGCTTTACTACTGAACGGTCAATACTAAGGCGGTACTGCAATGTTTGTGTCTGAAGTCAGTTGGGCTCGAGGACAACTTTTTGTTAGGCACGTAACTCTTATAACATCCCCTTTTTTTCTATTTTTACGTATATTTTTATACAGTGATGGAATAAATGTTAATTTTATTTTGTTAGCATTAAAACGAAAAGACAAAAAAATCATTTTTTTATTTAATTTGGTTTTTTTAAGATTCCTGAATGAGTTTTTAAAATAAATTTTATATTGCTCTTCTTTAAGCCCTTGATTTTTACACCTTATCCTGTACACTGGCTTGATTCATTATTTAAAGTCAAACGCCGCCCACTCGACAACTCTGTAGGCTGAATTACGGGGCCAATAATTTTTTCGTATTCTTGAGCGATCTACTTTTATGGTGTGGTAGGACGTTGTGCAATATAATAACGTCTTATGTAGAACTAATTATGGTTTAATAGTTTTAACGGAACAATCTTTTGTGTCGCGGATAAAATATAATCTGAAATAAGTGATTTAAACCATTATATCTTCTCAGACGACTTACTCATTGTTATGATCTTACACTATTATCAGAGAAGCCTATGTTATCCATAAAAATTTTAATATTTCAAATATTGTTTATTGTTAAATTTGAATTATATTGAAATTTATATATTGGATAATGTTTGTATTGTCAATTATATCAATATCATATAAAAAATACAGTTGTTTTTGTCCAATATTTATAAATAAAAACATCGGTTTTACTGAATGGCATTTCAATTTGCCGGTTATTTCAATGTCACATTGTCTTGCGAATGACGTATTGTATTACAAGAACAAATGTCATTTATCGCGCCAACACAAACAGTATGTGCCATCAAAGTCTCGTGATACTAGCTAGGAACACCCAGACGCTTAATATGTTATTAGGATATGCGAATACTTCGACGGCCAGTCCAAACTCCACGCTGGGATCATCATTCACGTGTAGCGAAGTAGATTTGACGTGGGACATCAGAAGGTGCGTGTTCAGATACGATGTGTTTATAGGAAACCCGAAAATCTGTGAAACAATCAAATAAATTGACATGAGTCATTTGGTACGCCGGGTTTTTAAATGTAAAGCCTTTTTTGTTGTGAAAAGTTAATAGCAGTCTCCTCAGCTTGTGATCACGGCCAGTACAATATTGTAGAAACGCAAAACAAATAACAATGTAAATAATACATGGACAGCGTTAGTTCGTGTTTTAATATTATATATTTAAGTCACAAGAAAGTTTTGCTGTTGCATATTTTATGGGAATTTTTTGCATTAAAGTATTGGAACTCGGTTAGTTTGTACATAATTAGAACAATACTATTAAAGATTATTGAAGAAAACGAAAAGTATTTCGTATATAGAGGAAAACTATTTTTAACACATTTGTTATTAATGCTTACTGAGAATATTTTAACTTGATTTAATTGTTTACCTTATAAGAAGCCCTGAGTTGTTTTAGTCGATGCCCAAGGGTCGGTCGAGGCTGAGTGGGATTGAAGGACCAATATTCCCACTGCACCAGTGTATCACGGAGTAAACTACTCCAATATCTACATCAACAATACTTGACATAATTTGGAAAATATATTTTCAAGTTTAATGAAAAATAATAAATTTTTAATATATGAACAGAGTAATTAATTTTTCTGTGGTCATATAAATTACGTTTATTTGATAAGACTTATATAAATTAAAACATATTGATATTTTTAGCTTCTTAAACAATTCTCTACCCATTCTGACAACACCTAGATGGTAAACAGAAATTCCCGCCACTGTACGTCTTATAAAAGTTTGATTAATACAACACTAACTCCAGAGTTAGTCAATCAAACGGTTAATTACAGTTATCTACATACATGTTTTTTATTTTAACTTGACCCCTCATTACTTTTTACTCTTAAAACTTTTGTTTATAAAATAAGGAACATAATAACTTTTGTTTATAAAATAATAAGTATGGTCTAAGGGTTACCTGTTCCAAATAGTCTTGACATGTGATCTCCACTTTTGAATTTTATTTTTAATTTTTGTTTCCAGAGAAGATCGCAAATCTTCTACATCATAAGGTTTGTTATAAAGTTTGTCGGGAATCGTGTTTGGTAAAAAAATCGGTTTATTAAACACCTAAAATAAAAAATGGGCAAATTTTTTTCCAACTCAAAAAATATCCCTAACGGCTACCACGATGATTTAAGTGTGTTATATATATAACTTATGGGCACACAATACATCGATTTGTAACTTACTGTTTGCCAGTCTGATGACTTATTAAAGTCAAACGATATGTTTTCACATTCCTGTGAATTCTGGACGTTCACCCAAATCTATAAATCCGATAGGTATTACATTACGAGTTAGTTGATAATAATTATCATTTAAAATATATACTTATGTAGGTACAGACTCACATTGTCACAATCAAATACATAGCTGACCGTCCTCAAAGGACAGCCTATTTCTCTCAAGATGTATTTTTCTCCTGCCGCCGCATCGTAAATGTACCAAGTGAACGGTTCACTTCTAGAAAAAAATCCACCATTTTTGATATTTTCGTTGATCATCAATGGTCTATTATTGTAACACTTCACCAGGACGTAGCTGCTTCGACCACGCGGCAGTCCGAAACCGATGACAACCCAACATCTAACTCCGAGATGAAGGAAGTAGCTCGCTAATAATATTGTGTGGTCTAACTGAGACCCGTACAAAACTCTCAACAATTCCTATAAATATATTAAATATAGGAATTTTATACGAAAAAGTAGGATTTAATTAATATTTTACATTATAAAAGACTTACCTCTCCAGTTAACGTGACCACGTGTGCATTTCTTACTTCATAAGTAGGAATCAATGATACATATCGTACTGCGGCTTCTATATTTTTAGTAATCGAATTTTCATCAGTCTTCCAAGTATCTAAATCTTCTTTATCTTCATCTAAGGCCTTCTTTCTGCTGCCTTTCGAAGATGAACTTCTGGAATGTCCCGAACTCTTAGATCGTGCTGATTCTGTCTTTCTCGGATCCAAGGGGAAATATTCATAGCTCGGCAGCGGGAGGGGTTGGATGAATTCTGTGACGCATTTATTTCTTTTGGAGCTATCTATAAATGTTAGAGATATGTTCCTTGTTGGGAAATCTTCATTATATTCAGTAATGAAGTCATTCAGACGTCGTATAATGAAGTCACTCTCTGAGTCATCAGGTAGAGGTTGGTAGTAGGTCTGTAGGCCTCCTAAATACGAAACACTGGTCGTTATTTGGAGAGATATCAAGGACGCGTCTCTCTTTATATGACTAATGAGTTTGGACATGACTGTTGGTTGAGATTTGGAGGTCGCATTTTCGTATCCCAACACCAGCGGTGGTACGTTCAGTTTAAATGTACCTCGCACCTAAAAATCGTTAAATCACCATCTAATTATGATTCAGAAACATTTTTATTCTATTTTATAATGTTCATAGCTCACGTTTCCTACATCCAGTACAGTATGTAAGGGTATTTTGGTACCTCCAAGCCATTTGTTATATTTTCTATAATTCACAGTACTCTGTCCGGACCTGTCCGAGTTGGTCTCCAGGCTTTCTTTGCACTGATCATACACATCGACGTGTATAGATGATAACGGTTCTAATCTGAAAGACTTCCACCGGTTAAGACCTAAGTTAATTCTTGAATCGCCAGTTTTTTTGAGCCTATGATAGCTTAATAGTATTTATTTCTTCGTTTATAATAAATGTTTTTCATCATTTAGTTATACGAATACATTAGATATGCTTATTCTAGTATATTTGTTTCCTGATCCGGGGTACACCGACATAGCGACCGATGGCTTTCGCAGTGGTTTTAGTAAGTAGGGACCTGCCCAGGTCGAGTCTCACACATCCCTTCCGGCCCCACCAAGGCCGGTTGGACGGCTCTTAAAAAGAGTTTCCCTGCGTAATCAAAAAAAAATAGTATATTTGTATTCCTGACCTGGCCTTTATCTTGAGTGTGTTGTTCCATGTGGGATAACAGCCAATAGCAGTGTTAGTCTCCACGGATATGCCGTGGTAACTCACCCTTACGAACGGACGTAGAGGGTGAACTCTGAAACCTGCACATGAATATGAACAATTAAATTTCGAGAGTGAAAATTGCAGTGCACAACTTCGCCTATATGACTTTTTATATAAAAAAAATAACCATGTTACTGCAGCGTCAGTTGGTGGAAAAATTTTAAAATTAAAATAAAAAAATATAATCGGTGAAGTATAAAGTTATTGAAAATAATATAATTTAAATTGCTTAATGAAAACAATATTGTAATCTCTCCAGATAAACTATTGACCCTTGCTATATAGATGAAAAATTAAGCGGAAAACGATTCTTTAAGTTACCGGCTACGTCGTCACTTCCGTCTTCCGCAGCCCCATCTGCGTCATCACTCGATCTGTCCAATATATTAAAAGCTCGTATTACTGTCACATATATTTCTTGTTCCTCTAGTAGACACTCTTCTAAAGCCTGCTGTTTCCTAAATGTTGACGAGTCGTCCAAAGATAGTCTTATAGAATTCGACAAAATGTCCCTTAAATCAAAATAGTAATTAAATGCAACACATGAGAATCAATCCAAAATTATGTACCTAGTATCCTACCTTATCTTAAAGTCTCCATAATCTTTCACTACGTCTTTATAGGTTTTCTTCAACAACAGCTTATTAACAACTAATTTCAAATTGTCATTTAGTTTCTCAACAAATTTAACTCCTATAAATCTCTGAAGGTCGATCAAATTCTTCTTTGGTTCGCTTTGAAACTTATAGTAATCGACATCGTCGTCTTTATTATTTTGCAAACAGTGCATTTGCTCCGTGGAAAACTGACTTACGAACAATGGTATACATTTATTATTCATATTAAGGAAACCATCTTTATTTCTAAGTTGTAGAAGTCTGAATCTAGAATGTTCAGCGTCATTTTCTTCAAACAATTCCCATTTATTGGTGACGGGTTTACAAATATTTTTCAACGCGGCCGTTACATCTTCGTTATCTTCTACTCTATTTCCATATAGATCGTTTATGGCTTCGACCAATAATTCTAACGTAGGTTCTTTACCATTAAGCAGCCTTAATAACATTTGTCTCATATCGATAGCTGATTTTAACGATTCACATTCATGATTATTCAGCTTATTATTCCATTCTAACTTAATAAATACTTCGCATCTGGTGTATTGTTTGCCCTTGAATATATTACTAGATTTAAGTCTCACTTTATTCTTAGCGGCTATAGTTTTAATATCGAACCCACTGCCGATATATCTGTTTGTAGGTTCAATAATTATATCATACTTAAATTCTCTTGTTAAAAATTCTACATCATCTCTATATATCTTTATATCAGATAATTGTAATTTATAAAAGGACACAGCTTCCGTATTTTCAAATAGAATTATACTTATTGTTTGGTTATGGGGTAAAATTTCCATAGACAATGAATAAGAAAAATCGACGTCGAACCGATTTCTTCTATTCTGATAATCGTCTGACTCACAAACTAAAATATCGTCAACAAATATTTTGAATTTAAAATTCTTGTCAATCAAAGTTTTTCCTGATTTATTTTTATACCTTCCTACGTCGCTGTTATATTTAATACATAAGTCATATTTATCACCAGACATTATTTCAGTTACTATTTCTTCAACTTGGTTATTAATGTTATCATAATCAATTTTAAGCTTTGGTTTGGGGACGTTATCACCGTTTTTATCATTTTTTAATTCTTTATATTTTAAATAATTCTTAATATATTCGTATTCTATTTTTACTATAGTATCATTATACTCAATTTCAAACAGATGAATCCAGTGTTGTTCGTACTCTTTTTGTTCAAACTCTTTGCTCTTAATGTCTATCGTCAAGTTATTTGTGGTGACGCCACATTTTTCCCTGACCATTTTAATATCCTCCCATAAAGATATTAGTTGATGTACAACCATTTTTTTGTTCTTCATAACCTCACAGTATTTATATTTTGCATCGATCATTAGTTGAGTATATTTAAGGATGTTTTTATCGAACTTCACTTCATTTTGTCTATGGGGGCTTAATTTTAATAACTGCTCCTTTAGACTGTTCCTAGTTCTTCTGTTCACGGCTATCACCTTAGACAACTCAGCTAATTGTTTGTCTATGGTGTTATAAGTGTCATAGAGTTCTGTTGCCTTAACACACAACAATTCCTCGAGATTGAATTCATGGTGATGTTTAAACTTTATGTTACGAATATCTAAGTCTAAAAATTTCCCAACTTTTTTCTCTTGTTCTTCATTTTTAGCATACTCAGTAATATCGTCCTCAAATAATATCGGTTCTTTGTACTCTACACTTGGTACATTTAATTGCTTACTGAGTCTGTTTTCCAGAACTAAAGGGAATATTGGACTTATCTCGTGTCGTTGCTGCCCGTGTGTGCTGTGTTAAAACAGAAGATTCAATATATAGCTTACAAGTTATGTCTCAAAAAATTATACCTATACTTCCACAGAAAATTACTTAAGATAAGATTTAATATCAAAATTATGAATGTAAATGGATATATAACAAAGAAATAAAATTAATATTTAAAGAACAAGGTTCAGTTGAAATAGTAAAAACATGAATAACCCTGTTTCTGTGTCGAGAATTCGGAAGCCTCTTTTAGGAAATATTCTATCCAAGCGTGGAGTCTTTTCAAGATAACTATTTCGTTGAGTGTTGCGATCAATTATTGTTATGTTATTTTCTATTAACAAAGGCTTGCCAGCTAGTTCATTACGGATGATATCCATAGCCGTTTTGGGTTTTCGTGTTTTCTTTGTTTTTTTCTTCTTATTAACTTCCTTCGAACTGTTGACATCGATACATGTAAAAAAATCATATTCATTTATAGATGCTGCTTTCAATGGATACACTTTATCAGTTTCTAAAAGAGCCTCATGACTAATTTCATGATATTCTTCTGAATTAATTTCATCTTGACCGTTGGTGTTCAATGATTTCAATTCTATAATCTCACTCATATTAATATAATAAGAAAATAATATTATTAGATGCTTTGTTTACGTTCAAATACTGTTTGCCGTTACCATGGAAACAGCTTAGCATCTGTGACTAGTTTATTTCAAGAGATGTATGGTCCTAGCGAAATGGTCCTAGCTGAATGGTCCTAGCGAAATAAAGAAAACAGAATTGAATATCCTTATAAATAAAATCAAACTAATTCAATGATAAAAATATTAAATAATATGATATTTTCCATCTAAACAAAAACATTTGTTATGAAACTATTAATAAAATAAAAACTTATTTATTATTATGATATATGCTTTGTATTCCAAGTATAAGAAATAAACTGAAATCTTTATATTCTTCATGATTTTGTTTTTAGCTGTAACTAAAATTTTAATTATAGTGAACACGTCTCCGACTGTCAAAACATGACACCTAGTGTGACTTTAGTAGTACGTCAAAACAACTTTAGTGTAATAACAAAATATAGGGGATAGGTATTTTAACTGTTTAACATCTTAAAATTTTTCCAAAATGGCAAAATTTTGTTTAAAAGACAGTGAAAAGTATTACCTAACACTTTCGGAACGACCTAAAAGATTCCACGCTGATAGCCCTGTAACTAACGTATTTTTTGACGACACTAATGGACAAGTAAGTTTTTTTATTATTGTAATTGTTTTTATACATTTGGAAATATTCCACGTATATTTATGTTTGATTTTAAAGGTTTCCATGCTTATATAATTAGAACAATATTTATATGACAACTGTTTTTTATTTTATTTAGGTATTTACAGTGAGATCAGGCGGAGTGACTGGAGTCACGGTCAATGGCATGGACGATTCTAAATGCACATCTTTTAGAATGGAAGACAAAGGTCCCATCATTTCTATAAAATTTTCTCCAGATCATAAAATTCTAGCAATACAAAGGAATCTCGAAGGTCAAAATGCCACAGTCGAGTTTGCCAACTTCAAGGATCTCATGCCAACAAATGTTGAATACTCTCACATATGTAAATGGAAAAACGCGAAAATATTAGGTTTTGTATGGCCTAAAGCCAATGAAATAGCTTTTATAACAGATCATGGCATAGAATTGTCACAAGTACTGCCAGAAAAGAAACAGTTGAAGACTTTAAAGAGCACATCTTTTAGGTGAGATAATAAATACAGACCTAAAAATTTATTAAGAAAGATATTTTATGTATATACACCTGTGACTATTGTCTAGTCACATGCGTCAACAATATTCTTTAGACCTACTTTCTTTTTGTTATCCACTTTGTTAAATATATTAAATTAAACACTTGATATTGTAATCTTTGTGGCCATAGTCTTCATGAAATTTAAAAAACTGTACAAATATAATCTGTATACTCTGTTGATTACAAATAAATAAATAAATGTAAACTTTATAGTTATTAGTGTTTGTTTATCTATTTCCAGTGCTGCCTGGTTTTCTTGGTGTCCACAGAGCAATATAATATTACTAGCCGGTAACAATGGAATTCTGCTTCAACCTTTCTCTCTGAACAACTCCACTATAACAAAGCTGCAGAAATTAGAAGGTATGTGTGAATAATGATTCTGTACTATTTTTTCCACCAATGAAACTACTTGGCTTGATAATTTTTATTGAATCTAAATAGAACCATAATAATTTCATAACATTTTATTTTTCTCATATTACTTTGAGTGTTGTCAGAAATTAAAATTGAGTACATAAAAAGTCAATTCAATATTTCCCTGTCTCCAAAATTTAATATTATAAGCAGTGGTGGTTGGTGGGTTATCGAACTGGTGGTGTACTTTACTAAAATATTAAAATTAGAAAATGCAACAAAACAACAATTGACATAAAATATGTTTACTTTTTAGACATTAAATCAATGCGACGACATTTTTCTGAAGCGAAATGTTGAATCACCTTTTTATTAAAATCTGGTATTGTTTGTATAATTTTTTTTTCAATACTAAGCACAGAAAGTAAGTGCATTTAGCAAGTGCATGGTATTTCGGAGAAAAGTTTAGATTCTTCTCAATTCCAATTCGTCATATATCGGGTGCTCTTGGTAAACTTCGGTTCGCACGTGCGGCGCTCGAGAACTGACTCATTACTTGGTACTAGCCGAAGCGCACGATATTAGTTTAGTAAAGCGCTCAAACTTTTGACCATAATTAGGAAATTAAATTTTTATACGTTTTTATATGTTTAAAAAATAAATATTAAAATGGTAATTTAAAAATAAATATGAAGTAATATTTTTTAAATCTTTTGAATTGGTGGTTCAGCGCACGAGTGCACTTAAGGTACAGCCACCACTGATTATAAGTGTTACTGGCTTTATTAAACTAATATGATAATTTAATAATATTTATTAATAATAATAAAATATTTATTGGTCAAAGTCGCACTACAACACAATAACAACAACAATTAAGAAGCATCGATGATGCTTCTAAACTGATTTTCAGCGGTCTACATAAGGTATGCTCTGACAGCTGTGACAAAAAAAATAATAATAAGTATTAAAAAAAATACAAAGTAAATCTAAACACAAAAAAACAAGCAAAAAACTTCTTATAATAAAATAATAATAAAAATTGGTTGTTTGTAAAGTAGGTTTACGATCGAGATGTTTACGTGATAACGTCTTATTGGTGATATAAGTTTTTGGGGAGTAAGGAATTAATGAAGATAACAATTTTTTCAAATTTTAAATTACATCTATCGTTTTATTCACACTTTTGATGATAAATTTCATGTGTAAAATGACAAGTTTGTGTGAGTGAGAAAAACGGAGGATCGGTCCACTCACTCGAACGCTATGCCTGCCTCCGCTCGTGAGGATTCCGCGTGACAAGTTTCACGGAATGACTGTCAACGCTCGAGATGAGACGGGAGATCGGTCCGTCTCTCTCTCGTTACACCTGCGATCGCGCTCGTGACGTTTTGGTGTGACACAAGTTTCTGAACATGTCACCCGACCAAAACGATTTTAAAGACGTTATCACGTCAATAAAGTAAAAAATAATAATAACAATAAAATAATAATAACAATAAACAGTCTTAGCGGAATTTCATTTACTTTGCTCATCGTGTCAGCCAGCTTGTGCTAGTTATGGTCTTAGACTGACTTGTTAATTCTTGTGTGTTTTATTCCAGTTGAGTCATCCCGGCCGGTGATGGAGCGTGATGTGTTTGTGTTACGTGTGTGTGTGGTGCCGCGTGGTGCGCACTCTTCAAACATGGACCTGTCTCCAATACTACAGCCAGCACTGGACCCACTGAGGTACAATAACATAACGATAAATGAGACGAGACAAATCTTCTCATCATTCCATGTATTCACGGTGCGTGTGTCGGGTCCATCGTTGTAGTGAGAGGAGCTTCAACAGTGACTGGGACTTGCGACCCAGGTGTAGGTTTAAGGCGTCTGTCTAACGCGCGTTAAACGCTCACCTCAACTGTCCAAGCTCCTCTCTCTACCTAACCTAATTATATTTTTATCGTGTACTAGTTATACTTGGTTGGTATTGTTAAATAATAATTATGATATCAAGTTTAATACATATAAGTATGTAGTTCACTTTATTATGTTTGGTTCTTTCATTCAGTTTTGCTACTTAGCACAGTACATACATGACAAATTCAATATAGTTTTGTTGGATACAACAATATTCCATTTCTCTTTGGAAAGTAAAAAAATTAAATTCTTTGTAAGCATCAGGCATAAATGTATTTATTTCACTTCAATTAAAGATAAATGTTTTAAGACATTTAAATAAAATGATGATATGGGATGTTGTTCACAATAGAATACTATAGGGTGCGCCAGAGAAACTTACTTATTTAAAAAAATTCCCGCGCGGTGAGTTGGGTGGGTAGAGGGGCAAGAGGGGGTGCATCTGGAGGGGGAAGTTCCCAAGTTTGTTTCTCCCTCCAGTCAGCTGCCATCATGCTCTGGTCTAGAGAGCAGTGGGCCTTCGCAGTTGAGAGCTTCTTTTCTAACGGTCGCTCACTTGTTACTACGCAACATGCCTTCCGCGCTCGCTTTGAAATTCCTCCTCACAGACTCGTTCCTGGCCGTAATTCGATTCTGTCGTGGTTTAACTCATTTCGGGAGTGTGGAAGTGTCGCTAAACCCAGAAATGGACTTCAACGGACCATCAGAACTCCGGAAAATATCGAAAGAGTGAGGCGGTCAGTTGTGCGTTCTCCCCGGCGTTCGGCTCGCAAACACGCAGCTGCTATGGGAATTTCTGATACCACTGTTTTTCCATGAATACCTTCAATTTCATCCCTATAAATTGGCTGTTGTGCAAGAATTAACTGAACGCGATTTTGTTGCCTGCATGCATGTGAAATATACAATGCATGTGAAATGCTGATTGACAACCTGCCTGAAGACGCGGTCGTTTTGTTAAGTGACGAGGCTCATTTCCACATTTCCCTGGTTTATGTCGAGCGACCACGGACCATAGCACACCTCAAGAACAACATTCGCGACGAAATTACCAACATACCGATTGATATGCTGCGAAGAGTGGATACGAATTTCAAAAATCGACTTCATCAGTGTATGCGCAATGGGGGTCACCATTTATCCGATGTCATTTTTAAGACTGCATGAAAAAAAAATTGGGATATTGTATTCTCAAATAAAAAAAAAATTAAAACAATAACTGAAGTACTTTTTATTGACCTTTCAAATAAGTAAGTTTCTCTGGCGCACCCTATATTATCAACAAATAGAATTCATAATGATGAGACATTTTACTATATTTTTTTACTTAGACTGAAAGAAAAGCCACATTATTCACATCTATATTGTGTTTGAATATTATACATATTTATTGATACACACCACTAAATATATTTTACATCATATTATCATGTAAAATCACTGTAATATTAGTATATTAAACCCATCTCTATCGGTGAGTTATTATATTTGGTGTATATATATCCAGGTGTGGTTGGTCCCTATATCTGGCGGAGGAGCCGTGCAGCATGTGCTCAAGACAGGGCTGGTGGGCAGGTTCGCTGTCAGTGTGATCGATGACTTGGTGGTCATACATCACCAGGTTAGAAAATATAATACTACTGACATATCATACAATACTTTTAACATACTGTTATGTAGTAGTTATGCTTGTTATATTGTTAAATAATAATATGATGTTAAGTGTAATGTAGTTAGATTACTTTATAATATTATGCGGTCATTCAGTTTGCTACTTAGCACAATACATACATGACAAATTTAATATAGTTTTATTGAATACTACACATACTAAGTGGCAAGTTAGTGGTGTAAATAACAAGTCCTAGTAAATGACATGATTATTTAATTAATGTAATTCATATATTATTTTTATAGTCTATAAATTTAAAACTGAATCCCTTTTTCCCTTGGTCACGGCATCACATGTGAATGGTTGGACCGATTTCACTAATTCTTTTTTTATTGTATTTGTTATTATTAGGAGAAGAGTCTTATGTAATAAAGAATGACTAAAATTTGTAGAAGGAAAAAAACTAGAATATTTCACTTTTTTATGAAAATAATGTGTCACTCGCAGCAATATTTACGTAGTTAGAATAAAGCATTAAAATAAATAACACTTTGTTTTTGAAATAATTTAGATTTGTTAATATACTAATTAGAATTCAATAATCACAGTTAAGAAGACAGAACATTGTCTGTCGAGTCAGCTATACCTAATAAAGAAATTAACTTCATTCAAATAAAAAAGCAAAGCTCAGCTTAAATCAAACGCACTATAAACGATATATCTTGATTATAGGGCTGTACGAAGTTCGCCGGGTCAGCTAGTATATAATATTTAATGAGTGTTTATATTTCTTTACAGTCAAGTCAAACGTCACTCATATTCGACATAATGGAAGATTCAAAGCCAGAAAACAATACCATAGTCCATGTGCCTATAGTACAGGGCATATCAATGAGACCTGCCGTGGTCGATGAACAACCTTGTCCTATGTGTATCCTTTTATAAATCAGAACGGAATCGAATCTGCTACCTTCGGAATATCTCGATCAAGTTGTTTTAATAATCAAGCTATCATGTCCTAACTTGTCTCGGTGAATGAAGAATTTTATATGTATATGTAACTTTAATATCGGGACAGTGGCGCCATCTATTGAGATTTTTACGAAAATCTTAATCAGTGTTTTCGAACCTTTATTTTAATTTAAATATAAGCTCAACATTTATTTAAATTAAGCAACATAATTATATTAATTGATGCCACGGACAAACAATATAAATTAAAAAATTTGCTACTATAATTATTATTGAGAAGCTGTTAAATTGAAATTAACTATGGACACTTCAATAATATTCATTACGCTGTATTATAACATGTATATAACAAATCCTATATATAACCAGACTCCGGTAACTGGGTGGTGTTTCAACCACATTATGTGATCGATGCTAGGCTCGGCTGTCTGTGGAGACTGGAGCTCAACTTACCGGGATTAGCTCATGAGGTATGAGAATTAATGAACCTAGTGACTAGTCGGACAGTGGACGGTCTTATATTATTACAATATGTCGGTGTTTAATAAACCAGTCACCATCTTGCTTCCGAGTTTGATTGACGTTCCACTGGCGACGAGTCGGTTACGTACCACGCGTTTATTGAAAAAGTTATTAAATTAGTGTTTCAATAATGCCTATTGGAAAATTAGAACCATTCGATGTGAATTCTAAACAGTGGCCGGCGTATATTAGAAGAGTAAAACAATACATTGTGCTAAATGAGATTAAAGAGGAGCTGCATGTACCCTTATTAATAACGGTTGTAGGAGAGGCTACCTATGCATTGATGTGCGATCTATGTTCGCCGGCACTTCCCGAAACGAAAAAATTCGTTCAATTAGTAAAATTGTTATCCAATCACCTAGAACCACAACGCTCAGAAATAGCCGAACGCCACGTGTTTCGGTTACGTAGACAACGCACCGGCGAGCCTCTCATGGATTATCTTCACAACCTTAAACACCTGGCAATAACATGTAATTTTGGAAGTATGCTGGAAGAAAATCTACGAGATCAATTTGTGTCTGGATTGGTTAATGAAGTGATGCGGTCTAGAATATTCGCGGAGAGAAATATCAAATTCAAGGAGGCGGTGGAGTTGGCTCTGGCGCTGGAGGCTGCAGAGAAGCACGCGGAGGTGAGCGGGGCGACATCGGTCCCGACTACGGCCTCGTGTGCAGGCGGCGAGGGCGCAGAAGCCCTGCATCAGGCGAGCGACCGGCGCGGGCCGGCGCGGCGGCCCTCGGCTATGGCCGGCGGAGGCGCGCGCGCCCGCGGCCGGTGGGATGCGGACGAGGGGCGCTGTTGGAGGTGTGGGAGGCCTCATGGTGCCAACAAGTGTCGGTATGCGCAGTATAGTTGCGACAGGTGTAAAAAAAAAGGACATTTGAAAGTAATGTGTAATGAGGAAGTGCGGAATCGTGCATTTGGGCGTAATAGTTACAATAATTATGTTGTAGACGCTAGTGCCTCCGAGGACGAGGACTTCTTCAATATCGAGTTGGCGGCTAAAGGTAATGGACCCTATTTTATCAAAGTGATAATCGACAGTCAGGTGTTACAATGTGTAATAGACACGGGAAGTCGTATCTCTGCCATTAGTGATCAACTTTTTAATAAATTATTCCCGAATAAAAAGATTAATACAGATAATCTCATTCTACGTTGTTACTCCGGGACTCAAATTAAGTCACTTGGTTATATTAATGTAAATGTTACTCTTAACGGAATTAAGGCTGAAAATCTAGCTTTATACGTCATAGAAAATGGGTCGCGTCCTTTAGTGGGCCGTGATTGGATACGCGCTTTAAATATAAAAAAAATAACGTTAAATGAAATTGTAGAAGATAATTTTGTAGACTGTTTAATTAGCGAATTTCCTGAAGTGTTTACAGATAAGTTAGGTACGTGTAAGAAAACAATTCAATTGCATGTCACGGATAAGGAACCGGTTTATGTAAGGGCGCGCCCCGTTCCGCTCGCGCTGCGCGGCCGCGTCGAGAGCGAGCTCGAGCGCCTCGAGCGCGAGGGTTATACCTACCGCGTGGACCACTCGGAGTACGGAACTCCGATCGTCCCCGTGGTGAAGGAATGCGGCGAAATACGTATTTGCGGGGACTACAAAATTACGATAAACCCGAAATTAAAACGTGATTATTACCCTTTGCCTCGTATAGAGGAATTGTTTGCAGCATTGAGTGGTGGTGAGGAGTTTTCAAAAATTGACTTGAAACACTCGTACCAACAACTCTTGTTATCAGAGGAGTCACAACCCTATACCGCGATCACTACTCACATCGGCACCTTCGTATATCGCCGCACACCTTTCGGGTTATCATGTATACCGGAGAAATTTCAAAAAATTATGGAAGAAACGCTCCGAGGGGTCCCTGGTACGGTGGTCTACTTAGATGACATATGTGTGACAGGTTGTAATAGACAGTCACATATGAGTAATTTACGAGCTGTGCTGGAACGGTTGCGGTCTATGGGTTTCACGATAAAATTAAACAAATGTAGTTTCTTGAAATCTAACGTTAAATATTTAGGCTTTATTATAGATAGATTAGGCTTGCACCCCGATATTAAGAAAATATCAGCTATATGCGATGCGCCACGACCTGAAAATGTTACTCAGTTAAAAAGTTTTTTAGGAATGTTAACCTATTATGGTAAATTCATTCAAAATCTTAGTATAATTTTACATCCCTTACATAGTTTACTAAAAAAAAATGTAGAATGGAATTGGAACACGGATTGCGAAGCGGCTTTTTCTAAGGCTAAGAGTATATTGACGGGGGACAAGGTGCTGGCACACTATGAAGAGGGCCGGCCGTTGGTGTTGTCGGTGGACAGCAGCGCGTACGGGCTGGGCGCCGGGCTCGCGCACCGCTACCCGGACGGCAGCGAGCGCCCCGTTAGCTGTGTGTCGCGCACGCTTAATAGATCAGAAATTAATTATAGCCAACTTGATAAAGAAGCGTTAGCTATCTTTTTTGGGGTTGTTAAACATCATCAATATCTTTTCGGTACTGCGGTACTTTTTTGTACTTCGAACGGATCATCAACCGTTAAGTTACATTTTTAGTTCAAAATACGGTATCCCTCAAACGGCTGCAAGTCGCTTGCAGCGCTGGGCGGCGCGGTTATCTGCTTACGAATTTTCGGTTGAATTTGTGCGTTCGTGCGAGAACAGTCCGGCCGATGCGTTATCTCGCTTACCCCTGCCGTGCGAACACCGATCATTATCGCCTGCGCCATTGAGTTATATCAATATAATAGACGATAACTTACCCATTAATTTTAAAGATATTAGTCGCGAAACGAAGAAAGATCCATTATTAAGTAAGATCGTTGGTTATGTGTTGTTTGGATGGCCGTCTTATACGAAATGCGAGGAAGAAAAAGCTTATTTTAGTAGGAAAAATGAGATCGAAAATGTTAGCGGGTCGGGGTCGGCAGGTAGTGAGGGTGAGGAGGATAGGTTTGAGGACGCGGCAGGAGAAGTCGAGGACAGTGGCCCAGAGACACGTTCATTGTCGCCTGGACCGCGTCCCCCGATACCTCCCCCTCCGAAAGCTACTGCTAGAGATTTGCGCGCTTATAACTGCAGAATTAAAAAAAAAATTGTTAAAAGTAATTTTAAGAACTCTTTGTTTGTTTATTTAGTTTAAGTTTATATGTAATACATATATAATAAGATAGACATACATACATTTGTACCGAGAACCTAGATTTAGTTTCTTTTATACTGTTAAATACTGTTTAAATACTGTTTGTAGCTTTTATAAATAATTAGAATATAACTTTTACTATTATAGCTATGTTTTAAGTGTTTAAAGTAATTTAAAAAGGGGGAAAATGGACGGTCTTATATTATTACAATATGTCGGTGTTTAATAAACCAGTCACCATCTTGCTTCCGAGTTTGATTGACGTTCCAATTAAATACTACTACTATATAGTTATTACTTATTCCATTGAATTTATAGTTTCATTTATATATTCATGGGTAATATTGATGAATTAACAGTGTAATGAGTTTCATTATATGGATACTAGCTTTCCGCCCGCAGCTTCGCCCGCGTGGAGTTCGGTTATATCCCGTTTCCAAGAGAACCTTTCAAAAGTCTAGGATAAAAACTATCCGATGTTATTTCTCCAGGTCGTCTCTATCTCTGTAGCAAATTTCATTAAAATCAGTTCAGTGGTTTAGGCGTGAAAGACAGACAGACAGAGTTACTTTCACATTTATAATATTAGTAGGGATATAAATATTGAATATTATATGTATGTGAAGGTTCCAAAGGAGGAAATCTCCAAGATAGTCGGTGTTCTGTTGAGAAGAAACAACAGCAAGGACACCATCTACAGGATCCTGAACCAGCTCGTGGAACACGCGGGGACCTACGTCGTGGAACTGACGACCTGCTTTGATGAGATCAACACTGTATATAGGTATTACTATAGTTATAACTAACTTACTACTTCATATTAAAGGTCATATTTAAGTTTAGATATATTTTATTTAAAGATGAACAGCTAATCTGATTAAAACGGTATTACCACAGACTAAGTTATTTAATATAATTATATTCACAAAATAATATACTGATAGAGCAATTTAAAGAGAAGGTTAATAAATATATGACGATGCTAGTAGTAATACAAAATAAAATCTTATAAATATTAGCTTTTTTTAACTTTTACAACTTATATATGTATCCATGTATGTTTCATTTCAGACGATGGGCGGATTTGGAGGTGGCTCGCAACACGGCCGGCTGCCCTCCGCCCGCCCGCGGACACTTCCCCGCCCTTATATCACAGGCGGACATGTGCACACACGTGCTGCACAAACACACACACAAACTACTCGTGCAGGTACACACTACATAATACAATCTCAAATTACAGATGATTATTAACCAAAAATCATTGAAGAGTTGGAAAATGGATGCTGGGTCTTTCCTTCATCTCACTCCCGAGGCTATTCACTGATTAGTTTCAGAACAATTTCTTTATACTTAGACTTCTACAGTTCTACACACCTCTTATCTCCAATCCCCGTGTTGTATGTCTCTCTACTATTTATTTATTTATTTTACTTATTTGTAAAAACACTTAACAATGTAATTTACACTAAACGTTGACGTCCACACTAGGCTAGGTCTGTATCGTGGACATCGATTCATTTCTAGCAGACAAATTTCAGTAAATTTTTACTACTCTTATAATAATAGAAAATTATAATCACACAATTAATTGTACAAGGTGACTGGTGAATTACTATCAATATTTAAGGAGAATACTCGGTACATGATTCTCATTCGAATTATGTAAAAAAAAATAGGCACTTAATTTTTGACAAAATTTCCGTATAAATAAATAAAGTGTTGACACGTTCCAAGTGTTCCAAGTGTGGACGCGTGCGGCGGCGTGCTGATACAATACTACGCCGCCACACGTGTGTGTGAGCGTGTGTGTATACCTAATCTTTAGGGTGTTCACACGATGTGTAATTAATTACATAACTTTTGGTTAACTTTACTTAGAAGTTTATTAATATTAATGTTATATTAATTTTTATTTTGTCATATATGATCGTCAAATATCACGTCCTCAAGTAACGATAGTAATTCACCAGTCACCCTGTATAAGGCAAAAAAAAGTAAAACTGATCAATCATTGGAAAATGTGATTAGTAAGTGGAGTGTAGGAGTTGTGAGAGAGTGGGTGTGGGGTGTGGGTGAGTCCATATTGGTGAGTGTCTCTAAATTTATCTGAAATGAAAGTCTCTACTCTATATGTAGGTGGTGACGGTGTACCTGTCGTCGTTATGCCGCTGTGAGTTGGTGGTGCAGCACGCGGTGTGCGAGCTGGTGGTCCGCTCGCTGGTGACGGCGGGGGAGGGAGCTCGTCTGCGGGCGCTGGTCCGGCGCGGAGCCCTACAAGACGGCCGGCCGCTCGCCTGCCAGCTGCTCAGCCTGGGACACTTGGACCCCGCGGCCGCGCAGCTCGCACTAGACATGATGTGGAGGCTCAGGGCTTATGGGGTCAGTGTGGACCTCTGTTGAGGACTTGAGTTTTAAAGCACTTGACGATTTATCAGCATAATTTGTGGTCAGTCATTGCTGAATATAATCCTAGCCCACACCATGTTTCTGAAAATAATCTTTATCTCTTACCTTCAAATCTCACTTTACTATCTTATAATTAATTATCATTGGTCTAACTAGCTACAAATCTCTTTAAATTACTAGAGCCCAATTGTGGTCAAGTTACTGCAGCTCGAACATGGCCTGGCACGACCGGAGATGTACGACCCTCTCACAGAAGATCGGCGTAAATAGTCTTTAATGGCTGCGTTTCGTCCGATGAGTGAGAGGGACGGTTGCCATTTCCTCCTTTCTCAACAACCAAGGCTTGTAACGCAACCGCAACATCTCTTCTGTTGCAAATATCCATGGTCGACGGTGACCTTGCCTATCAAGTTGGCTGTCTACTCGTTTTCCATCTTTCTCATAAAAAAGCGTTCTTCACTTCATTTAATAATTAATAAAGCTCCATATTTAGGTCATTGTCATCTGCATCCAAATCTATACTCATTATATAATAGCCAATCTATAGTTAGTATATTCTAACCAACTATCTATAATGTCATATTCCAGGAGATAGTAGAGGTGCTGCTGAGTCGTGAGGAGGCGGTGTGTGCCGCTGGTGCTGCCCGCCAGGCCGGCGTATGGGGCTCACTCGCCGCACGGAAACTACTGGCGGCCGCCCAGCAACACTCACGACCTGAGACATTCCTCGCTATATACCACGCGCTGAGAACACGCAACGAAAGACTGAGAGGAACACCGGACTTCCTTACTGGTCATTATATAATATCATGTTAAGACTTAAAGTAATTAATAAACAATGAAAATACCCTTCATACGGCTACATCGTCAACTATCAAATATGTAATACATTCCAGTGTGAAGATTTGAAATAAGATTTTAATATTAATGAACCATCGTCTTGTGTGAGACTCTATTTCAGAATGTCTTTAAACCCTGTAGCATGAGGAACACAATACTAATCCACATACAATAAGCAATTATTATATACATAGTATCATATAACATATATATAATTTTCAATAAATTCTAAAAATATGTGTCCAAACAGTTTGAGCTCTCTTCAAAAATGTTAAAAGAAACAATGAACTCTTGACCTCGTCTCAATTATATATTTGTATTGCATAATTATTACATACATTTAAACAGTATTATCTATAAGTTACCGTGTTATCTAATGACAGTTTTGTAACTGATTATAAAACACGTTTTTTTATTCATTATTATCAGTATGCATTTAATTACTTCAATAATAAGTTTCATTGTATTTTAGTATTTGAATAAATGCGTTTTGGAATTAAATCCTGACTGACGATACATAAAAAACATTGATATATAAGTAATATCAGTAATTATTGATTATACCGATAACATATTCTATCAGATCATGTAGAAACTAAGCAGTCTTCCAGAAAAAAACAAAATGAAATTTAAAATAAATTACGTCCTGCTTCTCCTTTTACTCAAATTTCATGTTCTTCATAATTCGATTAATGATGTAAAAACCCTCATTTTATCTGGTTGTTGTTCAAAATATTATCTTATCTACTAATAATTACTCATTTTATAGTTAACCATGATTGCTTTTATATTTTATAATTCTGATAGCTCCATACATTTATCATTCCGGGTCACTATAGTTTTTATAACCCTTAAAAAATCTCGAAGAATCAGAGGTGAACAATAAAATTATTACGTGTTTCATGGCTCGTTTAATGTTACTAAAGCAAAAAATTATATAATTATGTATCTACACTATTATTATTTCGTATTAACGGACTCGATATTAAGCTTATGGCTTATAGCTAAATCCAATAATGGCGGACAATATATTTTGACACATGCCTAGATTTCAAATACTACATGATAGAAAAAAGAAAAATTTATTACGAGAAGGGTTGTTTTAAAATTCCAAAACATTATATTTTGACATACATCTTGCATATATTATAATTTATAAGTCAAACATTACCCTTCATATATTAGGATAACAATCAATTATAATAAATTCAAATAAAACCTATTGTTTCAGAGGAACAATGCGGAACTTACATCGAGTACTACAAACAACTTATGACTGAGTCTTGAAAATAATAAATATGTAGTATCCAAACTTAATATTGATGACATCATTCTAGAAAAATAAAGAATATACCATATGTTATGTGTTAATTTAAGCTAAATAATACTAATAAAGTTACTGTGACGGGATATGTTATGAAATCTGTGATCTATATTGTTAATGTTTTAGTGACAACAGATTTATGTATAATTTACGTTATTTTAATAAACTATATGAATAATCATTTAAAATTTGTTTTAATATTATCTTTTTCTTACATTGGAGGTGCATGCAGGTTCAAGGAAAGGTGAAGTTTCAAATTGAGTTATGTTTTTCTGTTATTTTATTTTAATAAATCCATTATAATTAAAACTACGATTTGTTAAGGAATTCTGATTATGTTTAAAATGATAATATTTCTAGTAAGTCTTAAAGACTGGTTACTTCTCCAAGCAACCATTTGGAAACTTAAATGCTTCAAAAGAAAGGTTATATTCACTTAAACAAATTCGTATTGATTGCTTTTTTTTAGACTAAGAAATAATATTATTACATATTATTATTTTTATACTTAAGAGATTCGTACATTTAAATTTTTTTATCAGATTATTTCCAAATATATTATTTGGTGTCATATATCATAAATGATAGTGAAATCAAAAATACTTCTTTATAATAATATGCATTTATTCTGAAAAACAGCCCTTTTGGTGTACAGTAGAAAACAATTCAATTGTTTGTTATATACTTAGACAAAAACACATTACAAAGTTAATATCATTTTCCCATATAAATATAAATAATAGATAGTATATTTTAAAACTCAACAACAGCACGAATGGATTTTCCAATATGCATTAAATGGAAGGCCTCGTTGATCTCACTCAGAGGTACTTTATGAGTAACAAAGTCGTCCAAAGGAAGTTTCTTATTGAGGTAGTCATCAACCAACTTTGGAACACTGTCACGGCTCTTGTAGCCTCCAAAGGCTGTTCCTCTCCATACACGGCCGGTCACAAGCTGGAATGGACGGGTGCTGATCTCTTCCCCGGCAGCGGCCACACCAATGATAACAGACTCACCCCAACCCTTATGACAGGCCTCCAGAGCAGCACGCATAGTATTAACATTACCGATGCACTCAAATGTGTACTCCAAACCTCCATCTGTCAAGTCAACCAGTACTTGCTGGATGGGTTTGTCGTAGTCTTTGGGATTGACGAACTCATTGACACCAAACTTTTTGGCAATCTCATATTTGTCAGGGTTAATATCGACTCCTATGATGCGATTTGCCCCCGCCGCTTTACAACCGAGAGCTACGGCCAGGCCGACAGCTCCGAGACCGAATATAGCGCAGTTTGAACCCGGTTCGACCTTCGCTGTATTGAGAGCGGCTCCGTAGCCGGTTGTCACACCACATCCCAATAGACATACCTTATCGAGAGGCGCGGCATCTGCTATCTTGCACAACGAAATTTCTAGAACTACGGTATATTCACTGAACGTTGAGCATCCCATGAAGTGGAACAGCTCTTGACCTTTGCATCGGAATCTCTTCGTGCCATCAGGCATGACACCTTGTCCCTGCGTGATTCTCACTTTCTGACATAGGTTGGTTTTAGGGTTTTGACAGAATTTACATGTTTTGCACTGTGGGACGTACAGAGGTAACACATGATCGCCGGGCTTCACGGACGTCACACCCTCTCCAACACTTTCGACTATACCACCGCCTTCATGCCCTAATATGACTGGAAAGACTCCTTCTGGATCTTTTCCGGACAAAGTATATGCATCTGTGTGACAGACACCGGTAGCAAGAATTTTTACCCGTACTTCTCCAGCTTTTGGTGGATCAACTTCGATTTCTTCAATAGATAGCGGCTTTCCAGCTTCCCAAGCTACCGCTGCTTTACATTTAATAACTTTTCCAGCAGTAGACATCTTACTGTAAATTATTGGATGTGACCGGCTTCTCTCAGAGTTACTTACGAAATGAACGAAATTCGAAAAATATAATGAAATATTTGCGTAAGTTTAGCACTACCAAAAGATCACATGAAATGAAATATCAATGAAGTTGTAACCTTGTTAAACCTATAAACGAATGCCATACAGTAGAAAGAGACAATATGTTTTTCCGCGACTTACTATAATTGTAACCTTGAACGTGATTTAAACTTTAGACATTATTATTACCTCTAGATAACAAGTGGTCATCAAAATGAGGCCCCCAAATCTGAAAAATATTCAAGTGTTACACTTTTCAAGAAAGTGTTTTTAATGGAATTTGGAAAATGAATACTACAATTGAATAAACATCGGTATTTTCTTTTAACTGTAATTATATTAATGTCATCACGGCATGTTGTTGATATAAAGTTATAAAAGTAAAATATTTTTTTTTTATTAAAAATGCGTTGATATTTAATATATTTCTTTTATTTACTGTAGACATATTTTAAAATCGACTATATTTAAATATTGTGATTTTATTGAATATATTGAAGTATAAAAAAATTATACATACAATAAGTGCTCTGTGACAACTGACACTTGAAATATTAGATCAATGTCAAAACCTCGCGTTGTCTACCACGCTGAAAATTTATACACTAAAAGTGAAAACTTTATGAAAAAGCTGTTGTATGATGAATTTATGACACGAATTTAATAAAGTACAATGGCAAAATTGCACAACTATTACGTTTTGTGTCCATTGATTGATCAAAACAGTTTTCTGGGAGTATCACAAGATAAAGATGATGAAAATGTTATCGTTACACTAGGCAGAAACGTTGTTAATAAATACAGGGTATGATATGATACGTCTAATATTGTTATAATTATACAAAGGATGAGGTGCAAGCTATAACTATATTAAAACAGCTTTCAGATCAAAAACAAATCGGAGGCTGGACTTCAAAAGAACATCTCACGTCTTTTGTTATTTATGATAAGGAACAGGAAGGATACGTCGGAGTTTTTAATAAAAACACTATCAAGATATGGAAAGAAGATTCAGATAATTTAGACAAAATTAAAAAACACAAAGTAATTTTTTTCCCATGTCTTAGGTTTCATATTTATATAGTCTTGATGGATATTAACACTTGTTTTTAGTTTTCAGTCAACATCTTAAAGCTTCAACAGAGAGGTGACAATACGATAATTATATTTGAGAATGGTTACTGTGCCTCCCTTTCCTATGCATTGGAAAATAGAAAAACATATGAAGGGAAACCTCTTATAAAAGATCCTGAAACTGTTGTGGATTCAGCTTGTTTTACATTAGATAAAACAGATTACATATGCTATGTCATCAAGAATACTAAAAACAATTATGAAATTCTTACAAGTCCACTTAGAGAAGAACTTGGTGATATGGAGAAGTCCAAAATATGTAAAGTTAAAGTTACGAGACCTCATGATGTGTATGTTGTTGGGAACCTTATCAATATAGATGAGAACCCATCGGTTTACATTTTATGTAAGTTATTTTGATATATAATATATATTTTCTTACACAATTTCATTACTTATACATGTTTTGTTTCCTAGGGAGTGACTCTAAGATGTCAGTATACAATCTCGTAAGCAAATTGTGGACGAACATTGGCACTGTACCGTGGATATCAACACTAACGAGTGTCTCTATCGCTTGGATGGGGAAGGATCATCTCATTCTGTTTGGAAGCAATACAGATCAAGATGGAGCCATCATTGTGGCTTATAATGTCATACTGGGTGTGGGATCTTGCAGGTATCCCATGAAGATGTATGCTGAAAATGCTCACCTATATTGCTTCAATGGACGCATAATCCTGGAAGCGTCCAATCACATAGGAATGTTGCCATATGTCCTCGAAACAAACAGAAACTTGTCAAGCCTTTTGGGTTCTCATGATACAGCTGAAGATAGCTGCATTGAAGTAGCTCAGTGGGGCTTAAAATCAAATCCTCTGTTTGCTGTGAGAGAAGAAATAAAAGACTTACTTAAAGTTGGTGTCACGGAACGTAATATGTGCTCGCAGGTTATACTGCCTTTATTAGAAAAGAAAGATTTCAGACATGTATACAAAGTTGTTCAAGAATTCAAGGATGTTCCTGAATCAGTCCTAGTTTCAATACTTAACTATATACTTGAAATTTTAAATGCAAAGGAAGTAGATGTTAATAATCATGAAGAATTCATGAAATTTTGTGATTGTGAAATGGGTTCAACCCAGCAAAATAATGAACAGAGATCTAAATTTAAACTATTAGACTATGTGTTTGAAATAACATTCAGTGATGCTCTGTTAATACCTTACTTGAGGAATGGACTAACGCTAGATAATGCATTATTTCTACTTTCATATATATCACATCTACTCACCAATTCTCATAAAGATTACAGTGATGTCTACGAGAACAAGTTATTTGATTGGTGCACTTTGCTCATTGATGCTTTTTATCAACAGTATCTATTGACTAAAGATGACAAAGTTGTAAATGTTTTGAACAATGTTCAACAAGTAGTAGTCAACCTCATCAATCAACTCATGGCAGTTGATAATATTTTACCAATGCTACATAAAATTCTATCAGGAAAACCTCAAGTCGATCATGAAGAATCATTATCGTATACAATTGAGTTAATGGATATATAATTATTTGTTAAATAAAAGATATCATTTATTCAACAGTTTTTTTAATAGCAGCCCTAGCAAATTGTACAACCATTGGTTTTTCATTCAGTATGAAACCATTTGTTTCACTAAGAGCCTGTTCTGCCAACTTTACAGATGGAAATGTCACAAAGGCCTGTCCCTTCATTCGTCCCTCCTGCATCACCCTCACATCAAACCCAACCTGCTCCTCTTCATTCATGTCTTCCACGTATCTTTTATAGATTCTTTGTACATCTTGTTCTGTTACATTTTTTGCAAGATTTTTTATGTATAGCCTCATAGATGGTTCTCCAGGGTGATAGTTTTTGAAAACAGGTAAAGCCTTCATTTCCCTATAAGATAGCCTATTCTTCAAAATTTCTTTCTTTGTTATTGATGGTTTATCGGGTTCCTCAATTTTCTCTTCTTGAACTGAGCTTTGTTCTTCCTTTTGAAACTTTCCCAGCTCCCCCACTATTTCAGGAGTTTCAATCTGCTTCTGTAGAGCATCTTGTGATACAACCAATGATATTTTTTTGACTTCAGCAACAGGAGCCACAACTTCAAACACATCTTCCTGGTGTGTAGGTTTATCTCTTTTAGACATTGGTAGATTGGCTGTTGAGAGCACTGCTGCAGCCCGTTTCCTTGTCTTGGGCAGCAAATGTTTCCTTTTCACCATAGACGGTAAATGTTCTTTTGGCTGTACATTATCATCACTAGATATTTCTGACTCGCTGGGTTCATTAGGGGCAGTTATATAAATTTCATCAAGAAAATATTCTCTAAAAGTCTCCTTAAAATAATTTAAAGCTTTTTCATTTTCTTCAAATGGGAGCTCCAAGCTCATTTTGTTCATGAGATGTAATGTTTGAATATAAAATGGTTTATGTAGAAGGAGTGAATACAAAATGTTTATACATGTTAAAGAATTTGCTGTAGGATATTTATATTTAAGATGTACTGGCGGTGGTTGGTAAAAATCTACAGAAGGATTCCAAGCGTTAAGAGTCCGCAAGAACTCATTAATATGTTTGGTGGTGTCTGAAACTGAGTCTTCATTCTGTTTATTTTGTAGAGTCGGTTCTTTTTCAAACGAATATTCAACTACTAAACGTCTCTTAGCTATTTCCAGTTGATGAAGACGCTGCAAAGATATTTTTGCTTTTTCTTTGGTAGAAAACGAAGCAAACACATAGTCTCTTTTCTCGGGTCCCCATACTTTCTCAGCTCCGAAATGATGCAATAACTTTTCCTTATCTTGGAAAGATAAGTTTGGAGGCAGGTGTTTTATAATTAAGACCGTAGACATGGTGTATTTATTCTTTTACATATTATTTTAATAAATACTTCAACTTCACAACAAAACGTTTAAGTTTTCACAACAAACCAGCTGATTACAAGATTTTGACATATCGTTAATGTCAAAAATAACTTCAAATTGATTTTTGACGTACCTTATCAAAAGACCGGTCGTTACAGTTGTGTCAAAAGTATATTTTGTGTTGTGTGTAAATATATATTTTTAGATGGATTAAAGCGAATAATTTATATCATGACTAAACAAGAACAAACAAAGAAGAAAACGGTTAAAGTGGTAGTGCTTGGAGATATCGGTAGAAGTCCTCGGATGCAGTATCATGCGCTCTCACTCGCTAGTTGTGGTTGTATGGTTAATATAATTGGATACGTGGAAACAGCACCACTTACAGAAATTCAAGAGAATACAAACATTACAATTACTCAATTACATCCCTTGAAGATAGACCGACTTCCTAAGATTCTAAAATACTTTGCAAAAGCTTTGTGGCAAACTATATCATTGTTTTTAACATTATTGATAACTGGAAAATGTGATTACTTACTTTGCCAGAATCCTCCGGCGATACCTACTCTACCTGTTTGTAGGTTTTATTGTTTGGTCACCCGAACTAAGTTTATTATTGATTGGCACAACTATGCACACACAATTATGGCTCTTTCACTTGGAAATCAACATCCACTTTTAAAAGTAGCAACTTACATAGAAAAATATTTTGGGCAATCATCAGACAGTAATATATGTGTGACATATGCAATGAAAACTGATTTGCTTGAAAATTGGAATATTGTGTGAGTCCTGCAATGAGTTTTAACGACAGTATAATAGTGCCTATTTCATATTTCTAAATAATATTTTTTACAGAGCTATGGTCCTGTATGACAAGCCACCCAAAATATTTAGGCCAATAACTCTAGAAGAGAAACATAAGTGGTTTCTAAAACTAGGACAAGAGTATGAAGTCTTTAACGCAAAAGAAAAATGTAGCGAGACAAGTAGACAATCTACTGCTTTCACCGAGGAAGTCAATAATTCAATTAGATTAAAGCTTGATAGACCAGCGCTACTGTTCAGTAGCACTAGTTGGACTGAAGATGAAGATTTTAGTATCCTTATGGATGCATTGCAAGGTAAAAGAAAACAAAAAACAAACATTGAGGCAAATGCTTAGAAATTACACATTTTTAATGTTACAAATTCAATATTTAATTTTATTTAAGTTTAATTCTATTTGTTGCAGTATATGAAACAACATACAACTTAACAAACAAGCTACCTAAGCTCATATGTGTTATAACTGGCAAGGGTCCAATGAAAGAACATTATCAGAATGAGATTAAAGCTCGTAATTGGCAGCATGTTAAAGTGATAACACCATGGTTGGAGGCAGCCGATTATCCCACAATGGTGGCAAGTGCAGACCTCGGTGTATGTTTACATACAAGTTCATCAGGTCTTGACCTCCCTATGAAGGTGGTTGACATGTTTGGCGCTGGACTACCCGTCTTTGCTTGTGATTTTAAATGGTACTAATTTGTTAACATTTGTTTTGCAATTCTATATTTGTAAGTTGTATATATGTACTCTATTTTGGTACTTCATTTTTTTCCAGCATTGATGAACTAGTTCAGAATGGAGAAAATGGCTACACATTCAAAACAAGTGATGAACTCTCCAAACTAATAGTGTTATGGTTTGATGACTTTCCAAGGAATGTTTCTCAAAATAAACTGGCAGAAAGAATGAGACAAAATCTTAATAAATTTCAAGAATCAAGATGGGAAGACAATTGGAATTTACGAGCTAAAAAATTGTTTGAATGATAATTAATTTTAAAAAAATCGTAAGCAATTATTAATCTAGTAATCGAATGTGTGAAATATATATTTGGAAATAAAAAACAATCATTTTTATATGTTTTGTATTAAAATATAATTAGTTTGCACCCGTCACAACACTCACACTAAGAGTCTCTCTATCTCTTGCTGAATACTTTGTATCTGCGGCTTGAGCTGTGAGCCCTCATTGATGGTGATGGAGCACGCCACTATGGGCCGCGACACTCCGCAGGCTCGACCCAACGCTTGTTTGGATCTAACGAACACATAAGGCACGTTCTTATCTTCGCAAAGAATTGGAATGTGCAGAACGATCTCCAGCGGTTCGGCGTCCGCCGCCATAATGATGAACTCGGACAGACCTCTGTTCAGGGTCTTGGTGGCCTCATTGGCACCTTTGCGTAACTGCTTGTAGTTAGCCGCTTGCTGCACGAGGTTTAAAATCTTAGCTGTTAGAGCCGTGTCAGCTAGAGGATAGGCTTTGGGATTGACAGATGCTTCAGAATCAGCCTGCAAATAACAATATTACAACATTAAGCTTGATATTGTGAGGTTATACTAGTGATGCCTGCCACACGAGGGTCTTAGAAATTAAACCTTTCAGATTCAAGATGATTTACAGTAATGTACGTTAATCATATTTGTTTCGACAGATTGTTTAAATATTTTTTTAATAATCAATGACGCGCTGACCGGCAGCGGTAAACAGTAAACATAACCTAAAAATAACACGTGCTATTTTCATCATTTGACATGGAATACATATATTTTTTTTCAAAAATATGAGCATATTCGTTAAAATTTACTTTAACTTACCATTTTAAAAGTACTTCCTTTTACACTTTTGAATATCTACTGAACCTCTCTGCGATTTCTCGCGTCACTGAGGAAGTTCAATAAAAAGTATGTTAATAGGCAGTAATCTAAACGAGACAAAATTTCTTTTGTCAAGATCTTATTAAATTGTACTAATAAAAATGAAAATCAATTTTAGGTTTTAAAAACACGTGTATCTTTATACGACCACAACAAGACGCTTCACGCTATAAATGAAAACGACAACTATTTGACAATTGACAATAGTTGTTAAAAACTTAAAAATAAGTTCGTTCAAATCAAAGAGATAAGAAATGCTAACAGATAATACATGAGCATAGTAGAGACTATTACTTAATAGAAAAATATTTCTTAAATCTTCATAAACGTATTATACAAATTATTGAAATATATACATTAATTATTAATCTCTTATATGAAGTGGCATCACTTATAAATTATAGTAATTGTTCTATTATTAATTTATTTCAGGAAAACTGTCAGAAATAACATTTCTTAAATAATACAATTTTAAATATTAATAATTTATTAAAATAGAATATCTCTTTTCTAAGATATATTTCCTTTTTAGTTAAAAATTAACAAAACATACAGAATATTGGACACAACGTTATTGTGCTAATGAAGGATTGAATTACTATTAAGTATTATTAAAAATCTGGGTTAAAAACAACACAATTCTAAATTAAAAATGAGATTATTTTTTTGTTTTATATAATATTCTATCATTTTTTTAATTACACTTAAAATGATAAAAGATATAAATAGAATGTCCTTGTAAACAAAGTGCACGTATTAACTATAAAGTAATTATTCTTATTATTTCGATATTCATAAAATAAATATATTTTAATAAAATTCTTTAGGGCAACTATATTTTTATACACTGTCTCTTTGAATGGATCCTAACTAGTGATCGTAAACGTGAACGTGAACAATTACTGACGCGCTTAATTTTGAAAAGGGAATCGATAACACACAATGATCACGGTTTTCATGTTAGAGTAGATTAATCTTGTGTTTTATTATTCATAATATCACCTAATTTCCTAGGCATAAACCTTTATATTGCTAATTAATTGGCCAAAATAGGATCTTTGTTTAATAGCTACGAATATCTGAAACATCACTCAAGGAAAGTGACAAACTTGCTATCATTATATAAAGTTTATATAGCTTATTTCCTATTTTCTGATTGCCTAAAACTAATACATCTTCAAAACTAGATCGCAAGAACATTTCTTACAGATATTACAAATGCCACAAGATAATCCTTAATACCAAGACCATATGAACCCATGTACTTATATTGACATCCATGAAAATAATAGTTACTTATCTTTTCATTATTAATATTATAATTTAGAGAATATTATTCTAATGACCTGTTTCTTGGTAAAACAATGTTTTAAGCTTGAAAAAATAAAACAACTGATTAGTGAGTACATTACTGAAATACATTCCGACATAGAATCTATTGGTTTGAAACAATGTGAGGATGATTACTGTTTCACCCTACAGTGCAAATTCAGATGTGTTTTTGTAACAAAAAATTGAATCCAAACTTGAACGCCATAACAAATTTGTAACTCAGGATGATTTTTAGTTTGAAACAATTTCAAACTATGAACATGATAGAACTGTACAAAAACTGAATTATGTATAGCAATCTCAGGAAGATCAATTTAATGATTTGAACTTAAACAGACTGTCTCTTACATTAAAATTAAAGATCAGAATAGAAGCTTAAACATTAATATGTATGAAATGTAAACTTTTATTTGTTTTAACACATCCACTGGAACACAATTGTCATTGAAGCCATTACTTCGGCTTCACATACTTATACTAGTTAGGTTTTTTAAACACATTGGGGTTGCCGGGAGGAGGTTGGTTTGATAGGAAGGCCAGGTGACCTTTGGGGCACTTGTTGGCGTAATGTCCCTTAGTACCGCACTTGAAACATGTCACTTCCTCCAGTGGCTTGTGGATCAGTCTTTGTAATCTTAGTTCTTCACCATCTACGGCAGGCTTCACATAACCCAAGGCTCTATAACGAGCCTCCTCCTGTTTCTGGGCTACTTCTCGTTGCTGTAAATGTTTATTATTATAAAGATATTATTACAATATAGAATTCAATTTTATATTACACAAATTAACATTTGTTCAAAGAAATTAAATTTAGATAATTTGTATGGTTAATAGTATACTTACATCAGGAGGTATCTTATGACAAGTGGAAGCTTTATGTCCTACTTCTGAACAGTAGTGGCAGACGGGAAGTCTCTTAGCATCCTTGGTCTGTTCCGGAGGAGCTGGTAATTCAAACCTCGGGTGCATGTACTTGCAGCTTGCACCATCAGGACAGAAGCCTGCCAAGTAATTTATACAGAGAACTCTTCTGACATGGCGATGTCTACAATGTGGACCGTGTCTACAAAACCCACGGTCATACCTGCAAAAGAGAAACTAGAATGAAACATTCTACAGAACAATTTATAGTTTTAATATATGAGAATGTTATATATTTTAACCAACCATGGGCAGTCTTTAATTTTGCTTTCTGGATCAATATGAAGAAACGGACACTCCTTATTGTGGCAAGCATTAAATCTAGCATAAAAATAACACTCAGGCATCTTGGTCATGTCATATTCGTGTAGAAATTCACACTGGTCGCCTTTCTTGCAGAGACCTCGCAACCAATGCTTACATACTACTGTTCGGTCTCCTCTCACATGCCTATAAGGGCACTGTGGCCCGTTACCACATCCCCCAGGTTGGCTGTAGAATTCACAAACTGCTGCGGTAGATTCTGAAATAGAACAGCGAACATTATTTAACATATCAGGAGTAACTTCTGTCTCTGTATAGTTATGATGTTGTGTTCTTTTAAACTTACTATCCATTCCAGGAAAGGGTAAAGGCAGGGCTCCATACTGCTGCTCTAAAGCATAGTCGATGTCAAATTTTATATGATCCACGTTTGCCACTATAACTTCCATAATTATAATTTAACTTATACGTTATAAACAAAATAAGAAAATAGTCACAGGTCACTTATAATTGTCAGTCAACGCATGGAATGTCAGTGTCAAAACCAATTTTCAAAAACCGCCTTTTATTAGTCATTATTATTTAAGACAGTTTTTTAATTTATTATATTTTCATCATATTTACTTATAAAGGTTAATCAATTAAAAATAATTCTTATTATTAATACAATTAATAAACCATTTTAATAGATTCAAAACAATGTAAAATAAATTGAAATTTTGAATAATCTCTATGTGACATGTTCAATACACACAGTCCTATAAAAATACTTAAAAAAAGAAAGCAATGGAAAGAAGGATATTTGGACTCGGGTGGAAGGAGTGAACTGAAAAAAAGAAGTTAAAAGTAGCGGATATAACAACACACAAAAACCATATGGATTGGTATTGGTCAGGACATAATATAATGAAAGCAAATAATTGTATGGTATCCAACAGGGACCTTAAAACAAGAGCTGGAGGAGGCCTATGCCTCGAGGCAAGCTTATACAATATAAGGGTTCGTAAAATTATAATACATACTGTATTTATATAAAGCATACGTGGTGACTAAGTTATCGCGATAAATGAAAATTTTTGTTTTTGTCATGGGAATTTAATATTTTTTCTCACACTTGTAGAAGAATAAATTTTTATTGTTGAGAAAATAAATAACTATTTCTTTCGAAGGAGATTAGTCAGCTATCTTCTTTGAGTACGTATGTATCTAATTCTTTGTTAGTGGTAAATTTGTTTTTAAACGTTTTCCTGTTGACACTTTTTATATTTGGCAGTCGAGATGTCATAAGTAACTATTATTTACAAATTCGATATTTATTTATTAGTTATTGGTTTGCATTGAGATTTCAGATTACCTAAAATGTCTGCATCAGATTTAAAACATGCCTTGAGGAAATTTGAATTTCCAGCATGTGCTAAAGAGGCGCTCACTAAGATTGGTAATTTTAATATTCATATTGTCAAGTTGACCTTTTATAATTTTCGTTTCGTTTATATCATGCTTTGATATTTGCAGAACAATTATTAGTAGGCCGAGCGGCACCCACTAGTAAACAACTCGACATAGCAATGGACATAATATCGGAATTCGTATTTTGTGAAACCGATCGGAGAAGTAACCCACGTCGAGGTCTTAATCCTCTTCAAGAATTACAACTCATTGATATTATATGCGATTATTTATGCGCTTGTACAAATGATACAACTAAAAATACAATATTTCTATCTTTATTCGGTGGCAAGGAGAGTCAGAAAAAATTAAAAATTCTCAGTATTCTAGCAAGTATGGCCGTATCGGCGTCAAGTACACCAGTTAGTATTATTAATAAAATTTATTAAAAAGAAACTACATAAGTGAGAATATTTATTAATATTAATTTTTCAAGGTTTTACTGGCTGTAGGTGTGTGGCTCCAACAAATGGGTTGTTCGTCTTCACAATCCCTGCAACTAGCAGAGAATATTGTTAGGGATCACTTCTACCTCAACACATCCAATCAGAATGTTTTAAAGACACTAGCAACAGACGCTCCACAGTTTGTTTCTAATTTTATAACTGCTGTCACCGAGTTATATCTTCATGACATACAGAAACCTAAAAAAATGCCCCCCAAGAATCTCTTGGAAGTAATTACTTCTTGGGTAAGTTATTTTCTTGAAAACAATACCAATTACATTATATTGAATATAAACCAAATATTGTATATGAATTATTTCAGGTTTATACAAATCCCTCTCTGTGTATGTCGGCACAACTCAACCCGGCTGCCCTGCCGAGTGGCTCCATTCCAATGGCTGCTGTTACTCCTCTGGCTGGATTAATACACTGGTGTGCACTCGCACCACTCTATGTGGACGAAGGTAGCTAAGAAACTTAAATTACATAAAAGTCCTAAATTTTATACTATAAAATAGATTTAATTCCAGACATTGACACTGATCCTATACCTATCAAGAAAATCAAACTTGAAGAAGAAAAACATAGTATTGTAAAGTCAGTTCCAAGTAAATCTCTATCGGAGACAGAGTTGTATATCAAATTGCACCTCGGAGTCTTACATAGTTTACGTGCTGGCAAGAGAACACATGGTCCTCCTACGGCGGTGAATGCACAGCATCTTGTTGCTTTGACTCCAATAGTGCAGGCCTATGCACATAATTTAATAAAATGTGGAGTTAAATTCCAGTCTGACAATAGGTTACAGGTTTGTAAATTAAAAAAATATTTAATATCCTCGCTGTAATAGTAAATATAGCAAGCCTGTCATGTCCAACGGCCAGTTTGTTAAAATTGTTATCTTGCAAATGTTCCTTGTATCTCATTTTAAGTGAATGTAAAAAACTCATGAGAAATAAAGTTCTTTATACCTAAATTATTTCTTAGAAACTATGAATAAAAATATAAGTTAATTTATATATAATCTGGTCAATTTTATGTTTTTCCAGGACTGTTTAGATCGAATTGGCCAGGCTGTTCAAGTAGCACTTGCAAACGGATGTGTGTATGGAAATATAAACAATCTCCTTGCCGCTTTGAATTCTTTACCAGAGAACAGACTGCTCTGCATCATTATAAAGAGCCATCACCAGTCTATTTGACAGCTGCTCTTACATTAGAGTTAGAAGACTATTTGCAGTGTTACAGTAACTAGTGAAGTTTGGTTGACACATGTGAGGGAAACTTTGGTGATGTTAATTCATCATTTCGTTTTACTTTTAAGAATTGTTTTTAGCTAGAATATTGTTAAATATTTAGTTTATGTGTTGTGGTGTTTATGTATTGGCCTAATATAATATTGTTAAATATGTTTTGTATTTTTTTATATCTACAGTATTACAAAATGGGTGTAAATCCTCATTCATTATCACTGGATCCCGGAGTTCCTATAAATATCAATTTACTACTATCCTCTCCAACACTCTTGAAATGCTAAAATTATAATTATGGTGATGAGGATTCCTCAACCAACCCCTAATTAATAATTACTTATCAATTATTTAGGATTTGTTTCACAGCCGCCACAGGTTCAAGGAAAACTAAGAAACTTACTTATATATTATATTATCACATGTGACATCATTAAAACTTAAATCCAACACATTGTACATCCACTCGTAATCCAAGACCCTTCATCTCGCATTTCCATCAAACCAATAACCTTTGGTAAATTTTTAAATATTGATAAAATCAATAATATCGTAGAAGATGGTGTTAAAAGTGTAGGCCGCAACAGAATTTCTGTTCAATTTTCATCGGCTCAGACTGCCAATACTTTTCTTACCAATAAAATATTAGATTTATGTAAATACAAGGCTCATATACAACATACAATGTCACAAGAATGGGTTTAGTCAGAGATTATGAAGTAATCGCCTGGACTAAAAAAATGGCGCATTAGGCTGAATGAAAGCAAGTCCATCCATGTTGACTTTACAAATAAGAGACCACAGTATTTCCCTGTAAGAATGATAAACAAGTAGTATACGCTAATACAACCAAATACCTCGGCATCACTCTAGACGAAAAGCTGCGCTGGAAAGTAGACGTCAAGGAGAAAAGATCGGAACTAAAAATACGTTACCAGAATCTGTACTAGCTGCTTGGGAAAAAATCTCCTGTATCAGTACACAACAAAGTCAATACTATATAAACAGGTTTTGATGCCAGTATGGACTTATGGTATCCAGCTATGGGGCTGTACCAGTAAAAGCAATCGCCAGATAATACAACGCTTCCAAAATAAAGTGCTTAGGGATATTGTTAATGCACCCTGGTACATTCGTAACTGTGAACTGAAATACCTAAAGATCTGCCATCTACCAAAACACCTCAATTTCACCCGATACCTATTAATAATAATTTTTCTGTCCAAGATAATGATTTGATGCCTACGAATGACGAAGATCTTCCACCACCAGAGAGCGTTTATCTAAATCCTAAACCCGGATGTTCATGGCTGCCCGATTGTCCTCCTCGTACCATTAGCAACGCAAATTTTTCAATTACGTCTCCAAAAGTTCTGATTCCATTGCCAAAAATAAAATCTGGAATGAAAAGAGTTATAAAGAAGCGCGGAAAAACCGCAATCCTTACCGCCTCACCTTATAAGATTGAATTAGAGGAATCTATTAAAAAGATACAAAATATTAAGGAAAAAACAGTAGAAAAAATTATACAAAGACTGATTTTAAAAGATAAAGAAAACTTAAATAAAAGAATGAAAACTAAAGAAAAACCAAAGTTAAAAAAGAAAGGGAAAAAACCAAAGAATTTAAGATTAAGTCAAAGAAACAAATAAGAATCGAAACTGAAGATGAAGACTCGGAAGAAGAAGAGGCGATCTGCTTGTATTGCAATGATTTATACTCTAAGTCAAGTGAAGGCTGGTGTTCCTGTTCCATTTGTAAAAAATGGGCACATTTGGCATGCGCTGGCATAGATAGTGACGATGATAAGAGTGTTCTAATTTGTGAACTGTGTCAATAGTTGATACCCCATCGTGCCCCAAATCGTATCCCATTGTACCCCAGGGGGTGGGGCAGAATAGGAAATTTCTTTTTATTTTTCAAATAAAAATTTTTCATTGTGATTATTAATTTAGATAAGTTTAGCTTCAATATTTTTGTAATAAAATAAATAAATAAACCTTCAAATTGCCAAATAATGGTGTTGTTTCATTCAAACTCTCATAAATTGTAACCAAAGGTTAGGTACCCAGTTCCGCCCCGAGTTCCCCTACGTGTATTGGACACATTCTTAAAACATATTATGTTACTGTAGTAATTTAGGTCAAATTTATTTACATATTAGTCAATAGGCTACATTGTAAATTGAATAAAGTATTGTATACTTTATAAGGAAAAAAAAGTCACAGAGATGTAACCGTAGAAATGTCAATAGACGAATTTGTTAAGGCACTGAATCCACTTCCAACGGTTGTGAAATTGTTCTGAAAGCAAGAAGACTAATTCGCAAGCTGGTGTCTTTAGAGGGCGTTTCCTCTGGGATTCCCACTAAGTCTGTGGTACTGACATTAAGAAGAAAAATGGTCCCTTCAAAAATATTTACATTTTTAGTATCCCGTCCCATTGAGACTTATAAATTCTCTACAATTCAGTGCAACAACTGTTGCAAAATGGCCATATTTAAAATCAATGTCGGTCTAAGCCCAGATGTTACAATTACTGTTCTAATGACCACCCAGGAGAAACGTGCAATATTACCAATGAGAATTCAAAATGCATATATTGCAATGGTATGCATTTTGCCAATGAAAGAGCATGTCCTGAATTTACTCGTCAGCAGTCTATTAAGATTGTTATGTCTCAGGAACCACTGGTGTATTTCGGTGCAATCAGTCACGGGGGAGGGGGGGCTTGACCTCCTTGTGGGTCTTGGCCCGGGCTGGGGTAGAGCCCCGGGAGTCAGACGGTCAGGGATGGCAGGATTCTGTTCTTGGCTGTCTGGGGAGAGGGGGAGGGCTAACGAGGGTCTCTCTGGAGATACAGAATGCACTGATGCTATTCTGGGAAGGCATAGGCATAAAGCCGAAACAAATTATAAAAGCGTAAAATATATGTGCAAACTAGGAGAGTATTTTCTTAGAAAAAGAAACATTTCTTGTTCGTTACGTAGTCCAAGTCCACGAGAGCGGAGAACGGATACTATACATTCCCAGACGAAGAAAAGTATCCGGAAATAATGAACGGCAATACGGATACCGAGGAAAAATCCATTCATCCGGGATAGAAGAATCCCTCTCCGAGCCAAGCTCGACTCATGCAATTTACAACAGCCTCGAAAAGAGACCAGTGACTTCGGTGCAGCTTCGATAAGCGCCATCCAAGAGACAAAAGAGGGAGATGAGACAGCGCGAGTGGGAGGCAAAAGCGGCGACGACACGAAAACTGGGAGTAACGCATTTATTAAGTTTAATTTGTAACATACTAACACTATATGGATCTATGTAATATGATCTGAAATAAATGATTATTATAAATTTATTATTATTGGGTTGATCAATGAGTCAAAGACAGTATAACCAAATTGTCTCCCTGGAAAGTCATCGCTAGGGATACTGGAACATGAAGGCCTCATTACCACATCATTTACATCTGCACTGTAAAAAGCTGGGGGCATAAAATCAAGCTTGGAAAAGCCATTACATCAAAGGAGCACAAGTACTACCAGCAGTACTTGTACAACATTTAAGCAAATTCTCACGAAGCATAATAAAAAAGTGGCAATATGCGTCGCTCATTTCACTGGGACTTGATCCTGAACAAAACAAAAATAACTCTAAGTGGGGTGCCATTCGAAGGAAAGAAGAAATAATTGATTTCGAAAAAGTCTGTAAACTCTCTCTTTTACTGAATCGTTGAAATGAATCAATGTCCACGATACAGGCCTAGCCTAGTGTGGACGTCAACGTTTTTATTGTAAAGTTTTTACAAATATATAAATAAATGAAATAAATAAATAAATACATTAGAGGGAGTAGAATGAAAAAAAATGTCTACAGATGTGAAGTAAAGAAGCGTCAACATAAAAGACATTTTGTTATATAGGTACACAGCAAGTTATAATCCGATATGCGCACATGACATTGGATTACAAGTACACAAAGCAGTAGACACGAGAACCATTACATTTCATTTCCCTGACCTTGAATTTTCTGTCATTAGCTTTTTCAATGTCCTTCAATATTTATGTTAATGTCGCAGTTCTCCTTCTGTTCAAGACTTTTCACAATCTAAACCAAAGGCTCTCATTTAATAATGTTATGGTTAAAAGACACTGTAGTTTGTAAAATGTTTATTAAAATGGTTTAAATCTTCTGCTTTGTTTTATTTGTGCTATTTTCTTCTTGTCTTCCTCAAACTTTTGTCGTAGGGACACTATGTGTTTCATTTTGGACTCTCTGATTTGGAAGGTGTAGAAGTTCTTCAATTCTTTTCTCTTCTTATTTTTTTCTTCTTTCTCCATTATTTTATTCTTAACTTTTTCCGTCCGAGCAAAGCTTTGTATTTTGCCTCCCTTAGTGACTGTGACCCATCCTTCGTCATCTGCTTTTTCTAATTCCTTTTCTTGCTCCTGTTGTGCAGCCATTTTCTTATCATAGTCTTGCATAAAGGATTCTATTTTAGACTTCAAAGCTTTAGGATGTTCTATAGAATTATTGTATTCCTCTATCCATTTTGATATACCCACTTTGATTTGATGTTCATTTGAGTTCATAGGCTGCAGTTCAGTTAATTTAAGTGCTTTATCTAAGTCAGCTACTTTACTGAATACTAAATAACATACTTTAAATGTTGGTTTTGTAGGTTCATCTAAGAATGTGTCAGTTTTTGTTTCTGTTGAATTAGGTTTCGAAGTTAGAATTACTGAGACTACTTTTCCAGCTTCACGGAATGCATTGGTCAAACCTTTCTCATCGGCGTAAGGGGGTACGTTGATTATAAACAACGTGCGCCCTGAAGGTTTATCAGCGGTGTGCTCTCTGACTGTGTGTTCTTTAAAATAAATGACATGGGGAGATACTGAATCTTTATCGAACTTCAGTTCCAGAGCTGAAATAAGTAATAAAAAAATACTATTGTAGTAAATATACAAATATAACGAGCAAAAAATAAAGAAGAAATTTTAATTTTCGTTACCTTTAAAATCGTGTGTTTTTTTCGTTGACTTCATATTTGATTAAAAGGGTTAAACTTATTACAAATTAAGAAAGCTTAAACAGAGTACGTGATAATGAATATTTTTTAAAAGGTTTAGGTTTAGCCGTTCATTATCCACGCTGTTTTGAGAATATAGTCTACTCAACTAACTGTCTGTATGTCAGCTGTCTATTTAATAGACCGTCTACAGTCTACTGCAAATTGCAATTATACTTTTTGTCAGACTTTTTCATACATATATTTAAATTAATAAAAAATAATTCATAAAAAAGGAATATTACAGTAATATAAATTTTCAAAAATTAATATTTTTAATTTTTAAAGGAAAGTATAACATCAAAGATAAATAATTGTTTTATAAATATATTAAATACATAAATATTTATAACATCCAAGAATTTTTCCAAATTATATTGAAATCATAATAGATTTCAATATAATCCTCAGTTTTTATTAAAATATCAAAAGTTTGGTATGCTTTGTTATTGTTTTAAGCGTGTATAGTCTTATAGGTAAAATAAAAATATTTATACTTTGTTCACTTTATTTTTTTTATAATTATTTATTTAACTCTTTTTTGTACACCACAATTACAATACAAACAATTACAGAAAAATACATACTAAAAACTAATGGTAAAACAAAAGGCGGCCTTATGGCTTATTAGCCATTTCTTCCAAACTACTTAGGGTAAGAGGATTGCGTTTGGAAGACAGCGTAGGGTGGTGCAATATTAAATATTCTTAAAATTATAGTAATAAATATTCAATAATATACATACATATATTAATAAATACATACATACATACTTACATTCATACATACAAAAACATACATATAAATACATTAATACATAATACATACATATATGACGGAATTAAATATTTGTCATAATCATGTCTTCATCATTACTGTGATGAGAGATATAACTTCTTTACGGAGTTTTTAAAAGCCTGTAAGGTTTTCGACACTCGAATGCTCAATGGTAAGGCGTTCCAAAGAGTTAGAGCCTGAACAGTGAACGACTGGCTGTAAAATTTGCTGTTATCAGCTTGCATTTTCATTACGAGTCTACGTGTTGGTCGAATTTTAGTCTGGTCTCCTAAATTTATGATTACATATCTGTAGTACGGGCCATAGAATATATTAGGATGAGATTTTTTTAATCTATTGCGATAAATGTGACAGTCAAAGATTTATTTTCTGTATAACTTTCTTATTTGTCTATGTTGGCGAATGAATAACTAAAAGCGTTTGTTTCTCTAGTTTTGAGCGGATTTTATTATTATTCTACGGCAATGTGTTATCTTATAAATCTTTTTAAAACGATTTCTAGTAATGCTATCCACCACTGCAAATAGTAAAGTTAAAAATTCTAAATCTTCGGAGAATATTGACGGTCCTGACAGAGACGAAATCGGACATGAAAACACAACGGATGATAAGGTCAGAGGTTATGTTGGTTCATACGATGTTCCTTCCACGTTCGGGGGTCAGAGAGACTCGCGGTATCGCTCCCGGGGCCGCGTCACTGAGTTCCGACACTCCAGAGGCAGCGGAAGAGGTGGGAACAGAGGTCGCGGCGGTTTCCCGCCACGGACTGATCGCGATGAAAACTCCTATAAATATCACGAACCGCTAGCAGGATCGAACAACGACAGCTGGTGGCAGGGTAACAACAACAAATTTTATGACAGATCTGATATGGTAGTCAATTTACCTGAGGATCCACGGATTTCGAAGCTCTTGCGCCGTCTATGCGCCGAGGTTGACGTTGAGAAGTCTCTTGCACTTTGCAGTAAGCTGCAAGAAGCTGTCATGTTGGCTGAGAATGTACGCTACATCAGAAGATCATACGACATATTAGTGGAGTCGTTGCTGGACGTTCTTTACGATGCTCCCAGTCCCGAAACTAAGGAAAGTGCAACCGCCGTACTGGGAAGAATTGGATACGTAATGGGTCCAGATTTTAAGAAACATTTAGATTGGGTGGTTGCGGCATACGCCGTTCACAGTACTCCTATCAGGCACCTGCTTGTTTTATCATTTGTTGAAACCTTCCAGATTGATTACCATGCCCCGTGCCTTGCTGACTATGCAGAACTAACCTTGGACAAGCTTCAAGTTATTATTGAGGGCACAGAATCAACTGACGTGTTCATGGCGGCTATAAATGCCATCATAGAGGTGTCCAACTCATATCCTGACTACTTTGCAAATCATTTTGTTGACACAGTTGATATCTTAGTGGGCTGGCATGTTGACAACACACAGTCTAAAAAGATAAAGGAATTTGCACTTCAGTCTTTATATAAATTGAGTCGTCACTGGCAGGCTGATGTGTCATTTTCAGTTAATCTGTTGAATCAGTTTGTAGAGGACATGGTGGCTTATAGTAATGACTTGGACTCAAATGAATGTGATAAAGATACAGACGTCCAATCTCATGAAGATTGTATGCAGAAGGTTGCTTCGTTTCTGAATGTATTTAACACCGTTGTCAAAAGTCTAGGGAACCTGTTGAGTCCTACTGTATCCCAGTCAGTGTCTTGGACATTTTTGACAGACTCTTTGACAAAAATTTTGCAAGTATTGAATGAAATAATGAAGGAGGAGGTGGAATCAGAACTCATACTGGCTGGTAATGAATGTGTCATATTACTCCTGAAACACTTGCAATTAAAGTCCTCACCTTGCTTGACATCATTGTTTGACTTAATATCTTTGGAAATGGACAATTATTTGGGAACAGAGGAGAATATCTGTCTCAGTGTCATAAATTTAATTTCAACAACTATAAAGGAGATAGCGTCTAACTTACCTATTGAATTCATAACACAAACAATAGGTCCCAAATCTGATTTGCGTTTGTTACGTTTCACTGATAAATTGGATGTTCTGAATGGATTGACATCTATTTATAGTAACCTGCTCAATTTAAAAAATATCCCACTACTGCAAGAAGCATACAAATATGTGCTTATTGATATTCAAATATCCTTCTCCATCATTTTACCTGAAGTACACATTATACCAATAGAATACTCAGAAGAATTAAGTAAGGATGATGCTGAAAAGAACATTATCTTCTATTTACAATGTTTGTCAGAACTGGCAAATGCAAGTAATTCAATTATTGGCATGTGGGCATTGCAACCTAGCATTTTAGAATTACTCGCTATAAAGATGGTCCCCCATGATGAAGTTCTGATGAAAGAGAGACCTGCTTTACAATATGCAATACTGTACCTGCTGTACTCACATTGTAAAAAGAATAACCATTTTATAGCATCGAGTGACTTAGTGACCAACTCACAACCGAGGGCCAATGACTTGTTTGGATTATCAAATTTGAATATTGGAGAAGTGTCCAGTTCAAGCCCCACTTCAGGCCATCTTGCTGTAATTATGAACACCCTCAATTTTGTTTTGGATGAACAAGTTTCCGATGAAACCTTATGTCTTGTACTCACATGGATAGCGGATATTTTTGTCCAATTAGATAAATATCTGCCAATAGTCGGAATGTCAAAATGTTTTCATGTTTTGATAACAAACATGCTTGCACTGGCCCACAGTTTCAACAGTGATATTGTTTTTGCTTGTTATAAAGAATTTCCATTTTTTACTTAAGAATAAAAGCATGGTATGGAACCTGGTTCTACTGAAAACCATAGCTGTTGTATGTACATTGCATATAGATAATACCAATAAAGGCCTGAGCAAAATATGTAAAGAACTTTTATTTGAGCTTCCATGGGATATAGTACAACAGGAATTTGATAAGCAAACTGTGAAGGTCTTCTTGAGCCGTAAACTGAATACCAATTTGACTGTCAACTGTGATGCAAAAATTAATACATTTAAAGAATACCTCATGAAAGGATCATTTTCAACTCTGTCGGGTCATCATTTTAAACAGATAATGGATACTATTTTGGACACCAACAATGAGTCTAAAGACTTCTTACAAGATATATACATATGTTACTGGCCGCTTCAGAGTGACGATAATGATGAAACAAGTTTACTATTTTTCAGACAATTTGTGAGTAATTTTTCATCCATCTGTGTAAGTTGGGCTTTGTCAGAAGTGGCTCAGACGTGCATATCTTTAAAGTTAAGAACTGTATTGGGAAAACCACAGGAGACATTTACTAAAATAGAGGGTGCGCTAAAGGGAATTGCAAGAGAAATATCCTCCAACGAAACAAAATATGTCGCAGTTGATTGTTCGAAACTTATTGAAATAGTTCTATCAGAGCAGACGAGAGCAAGGTGGTTAATAGAATTTATGATGTTTCTTGAGAAATATACTTACAATGCTGCAGAAGGAACAGCTACAGTTCTACCTGCCGTCGCGAAGCCGGTGAAAACATTTTTTCACACGAACTGGGCAACATGTCGAGAATGGCAAAACAGAGTACGACCGGCAGCACTCGCCGTTAGTGTGTATGGGGGCCATTATGGAGCTTCTATTTATCATGCTTCGCTTATACTACAAAATGCCGCAAAATCGGGCTCTAACATCGATATAGAGGCCATCGTAATGAACGTCGCACGCACTCTAATCAAGATCCAAGAACCAGAAGTGATACGAGGGCTTTATGTTTGGGTTAAGCAAACTTTTAAACAAAAACTATTGTGGCTTAAAGGTGCAGCAGAACAGGCTAACTCTAGATACGAATCAGCTGCAAACTTTTACACCTTACTCTGTGCCTCTAAAGCAGAAGAAACTAAGGATGATACTGAAAATGCTCAATCGGATACAAAATTATATAAGTTTGTTGATGAGCAAATATACGAAAGTTACAAAAATATACAAAGTTGGGAGGATATGGAAGAGTGGAAAGAGATGACAAACTCCAGGAGCAGTTCGCAGTGGGACTCTTTCATAGAATTAAAATCGTTTGAAGATACTCGTGATATGCCTGAGCTCTCAAACTGGAATGTTTTGAATGAGGAATCCAATGAACTGTCAAAAAATTCATGTTCACTTCAAGGTTTGCTTGATAAGGTAGAAACGACCTTAGTACACACGGCAATAAACTTGTCTTATAATAACGATGGTGACAAATACAACTCTTTACTTAAGAATTGTGAAGAACTGTTAAATACCAGTGCTGAAGAATTTATGCGAACCAACGCCACACATTTCCTTAAAGATGTAGCAGTAATGCAATTAGCAAACCATGGTTTGATGAATATTCTTAAGGATGGGAAATCAATTACCAACCCTTTTAAACCGTCAGCTCTCAAAGAAAATGTTTATGGCACAGAAATGAAAAATCTAGCTCGCGTGCTGTGGTGGCATCAATATTTCACAAAACTAAATATGTCTGAAGAAAATATTTACTATAATGAATGTCTTAGGCTTGACGTCATAAGAAGTGCGAGGAAACATACAAATTTCGAAATGGCAAAGAGGGAATTATTAAAACATTTTAAAAACAATTCAGCATTCCAAGCTTGTTTGAATATTGAAAAACTGGAAGACTTGAGAGACGTTCTTACCATGTCTAACAATACTTATGACTTAGATATATGGACCTTAAATAATGCAAGTGCGCTGACAGAACTTTGTAAGGTGACATACGTTAATGAAGAATCAAAGGCAGAAGCTATCAATTTATGTGCGAGCATTTCTCTTGGATTTTCACAAAGATTAGCTATGGGAGAACAAAGTTATGAACTGAGGGAAAAGGGGACTAGGATGTTGTTGACTTTATCTAAATGGGTACAAAATGAAAATGAACATATATTAGAAAATGACACTCCTTTGACGAAACTGGTGCAAGCACTACCAGAGATTGGACTTGTTGATAATAACATATCCGAAAATGTTATTCCCCTTACTGATTCTGCAGTTGGAAAATTGTTACAATTTGGTGTCAATCAATGTCCAGGCTTGGCCAAAGCATGGGCAAGCTTTGCCGCTTGGTGTTTTAGATGGGGTCGCAAGATGGTAGAATTTAGTTCTAAAACTCGAGAACAACTTACTGATAACGATAAACTACAAATACAAAGTGTTATGATGGGATGCTCTCAGCAAGATTTTGAAGCAGTATGTGAGATTTTGTCAAAAACTAAAGCCACTTGTGATGAAGAAGATATCGATTGGAATGAGATAAACACATCTGAAATGATAGAAAACCAATTGCGTACTGTCCCCTCCTTGAACAACGCGTTTCCAGAACACCTCGCGTTGCTAGTGGATATTTGGCGTCAAGCTCAAAAGCGAGTGTTTTCCTATTTCGAATTGTCAGCAGACGCGTACTTCAAGTTTTTGCAATTAATATGTGCCTCCGACTATATTAACCATAGTGGAGAAAACGCTGTTGTCAACGCAACACTTAGACTTCTTAGACTGATTGTCAAACACGCTATGGAGCTACAAACAGTGCTAGAATCTGGCTTAGCAAACACACCTACTCAGCCATGGAAAGTCATCATTCCACAACTATTTTCTAGACTCAATCATCCGGAAACGTATGTCAGAAAGTGTGTGTCAGATTTATTGTGCCGGTTAGCGGAAGACACCCCACATCTTATCACATTCCCGGCAGTAGTTGGGGCAGTTGAAAATGAACAGAATAGTCTAACGGAGCTACATGTGCCGAAGTCATTCCTATCCAACGAAGACGCTGACAGTGATGATGACAACTTAGACTTGGAGGATTCTTCTAGTGATAAAGTAAATAATGAATTAAATTCCTGTTTCTTGGACATGGTAGAAACATTAGCAAAGCAAGCTCCACAAACTATCTTGGAAGTTAAGTTACTGGTAAAGGAATTGCAACGAATCAATCTTCTGTGGGATGAACTTTGTCTTGGCACTCTGGTACAACATCATTCAGAATTTACCAAACGCCTGAGTCAACTAGAAACTGAAATCGCTAAAGTAAAGAACAATGCAAATTTATCTGCAGAAGAAAAAGAGAAATTAATAAAGGAAAAACACCGAATTATATTCGAACCCATCGTGTTTGTTTTAGAACAGCTCAATCACATAACATCTGCTAAACCAGAAACTCCACATGAAGTCGCTTTCCAAAATAAGTTTCAGGCTATGATAGTCGACGTTATTGATAAATTGAAGAATCCTGAAAATCCTGAAAAGCCACAAGAATCCTGGGCGTCCTTAAAACAACTTCAAATTAAATTACAACAAAAAGTAAACAAAAGAACTTCTTACATTCTAAAAATGTCGGACATAAGTCCGGTTTTAGCTGAAATGAAGAATACAGTCATCACGATGCCCGGCCTTCATACGAATCAACGTACGGTGAGGATTACAATCAAATCAATTGAGAACAATGTCTCTATTTTACCAACTAAGACAAGACCGAAAAAATTGGTGTTTTATGGTTCGAACGGAAAACCGTACACTTATTTGTTTAAGGGATTAGAAGATTTGCATCTGGATGAAAGGATAATGCAATTATTATCGATCACGAACACTATGCTAGCTCGGGACTCCGAAAATAACGACAATCAGACTTACAGAGCAAGACACTACTCCGTCATACCTCTCGGACCTCGATCGGGATTAATAAGTTGGGTGGACAACGTGACACCGCTTTTTGCGTTATATAAACGTTGGCAAAACCGCGAGGCAGTCATTCAGTCTACGAAAACAAGCAAAACTGTCAACGTGTTACGTCCCTCTGAACTATTCTACAACAAGCTCTATCCCCTGTTATTTGAAGCGGGAATATCTACTGAGAATAGAAAGGAGTGGCCCGTTCCTATACTGAAGCAAGTGTTACAAGAACTGTCGGCCGAGACACCTCAGGATCTGCTGTGGAGGGAACTGTGGTGTAGTAGTCTGAACCCGGAGCAGTGGTGGCAAATGACGCGCCGGTACAGTTACTCGGTGGCCGTCATGAGCATGATAGGGTACATCATCGGGCTAGGCGATAGGCATCTGGATAACGTGCTCGTGGACTTGACTTCGGGTGAGGTGGTGCATATAGACTATAATGTGTGCTTCGAGAAAGGGAAGACGCTGCGTGTGCCGGAGAAGGTGCCCTTCAGGATGACGCCCAACATAGTGACGGCGCTCGGAGTGACCGGAGTCGAGGTGAGTCCTTGATGTGCCGACTGGCTTCTTAATACAACTCAACAATGACACTTAAACAATAATTGCGTTTTAACAAACTTTTTATTGGAGAATTGAACTACAATAACATCACCATTAAAGAAAACACTTTCAAATTAATTTCATAATTTTTTGCTTGAAGTGTTTGAGTATTATTTCATAACGTATTCGTTTTGTTACGTAACGTTACCTTTTAAATTTTAATGCCTTTCTAGGGATGACCTGTTCTTATCAAAACTTATTAATTTAATAACAACTCCTAAACATACTTGGGAGTGTTATTTCTTATTTATAATGAAATATGAAATAATAAAATTGTTAAAGATATGAAAAGTAGAAGTATGTTGTTATGTAGGTCTCTTTCTTTACACTAATATTGAATCGCTATTGAAATAAAGTATTATTTTGTGCTTGTCTCTTCAGACAGGAATAAATGTGAAGACAAATAAAGATAAATTCATATTACCACCAAATATTGACTTTTATAAAGTGCGCCATCTTCATATATGTCAACTCTTGTCGAACTTTGCTTGTAATAGTTTCTGTTCATTCAACTAGATGGCGCCACTGTATTCAAAGTTTAAAAGACCAATATTTCTTAGTTTATAAACTCGTTTCTAAATTTGTGTTAGACCCTTACTTTGTTTTGATCTCGCTTTATTCAATTTATATTTATATATTAAAATTGAAGTGTCATTTTATGAAATGATTATGGAAATCTGATTAAATAAGTTAATAGATAAAACATACAAGAAAAAAAATCTTAAATTAATGTTTAGGAATTTATATTTCTTTGGAAAGTCTAACATGTCAATGATCTTCTAATATTTTGAATATCGATTTTACTCTATAAGCTAGCAAATTATGCCACACTAAAATCTGTTAGAAATGTGAAAACTCGGAAGAAAGTTCATTAATTATTTTTATTTCCTATGATTTTGAGTGCAATAAAGTATATTTCTTCTTCTAATTATAGCAATAAGTAAAGTTTAAACTTTAAATATTTGTTTTCTAAATGTAAGGAACATTTTAATTGCCATGTCAAAATAACTTTTCAGAAATGAATTACATTTACAACACAATTGTTTTTAGCTAAATATAGTTGAACATAAAATTAAAAACTATGTTTCTATTCTCCAGCCAAATTTGATGTGGAATGTTTAATAACAAAGGGTTGCTTAGCAACCAACGTCAGGCAGATGCTCAAAACATTTTTAGAAATATATACAAGAATTATTTTTGATGTTAATAAAAAATAAAATTGATGATTAATAATAAAATATTTAAGACAAAGGACTAAGCGCATTCTTGGTTATAATTATAATAGATACTTATGATCATTTGGAATAATGTAGATCTCAAAAATAATATCTCATATTTGAAAATGATATCAGAAATTACTTTTTAGTTATATAATTTGCTTTATTAACTTTATCTATCGCCTCCCAAATGACAGGACTCATCTAGATTAAATTTTGTGTATATTTGAATGATTTGAATGGGTCAATGGGAGGTTTGAGATTACCATTGCTCTAATACTGGAAAAAGTCGATTATACTGGAAAAACGTCTATTGGTATGGTAGTGTATTAGTATATATTTTTATTATAAATACAAATACAATATTTATTATGATTATAATTAATAGCGTCTTATAAATCATTTGACATTAATTCTTAAAAAACACTCCAAATGTTACAAACCTGTGATTTCTTTATTTCAGTATTAAAATATAGGGTTGTTACTTGTTAGTTTTGTAGTAATATTATAGTGGTAAATGGTAATTAAAGATTTTTAAACTTTTATTTTAAGCTAATTTTCATATAAATTATGTATTGACCGGCTAAATAAAATTTTTGGATTCTATATTAAATTATTTTTTTTGTGTTTAAACAGGAAATTGTGTAATGAATATAGTTGTAATTATAATAATTATAATTTTTTATTAAGAGTGTACCTATCAAGTATCAACCCTAATTATGATGACTCATAGTTTGTTTACTAAAATTCCAGGTCAAATGTGGCTGGAGTATAGTTCATATATTTGTTGAAAAACGTTCATTGTATAACTATTTTGGAATCCGTGTATATCGAAAAAAAGAAACCAGATCTCCTTCTTACATCTATCTTCTATTTCTTTTTATTAGATTTTGAGATACTCTTTAAGATGTATACTATTTTACCAAACAAATCTATCTTTATTAAATTCTAATGGCAATAAAATTATATTACTCCATAAATCTTCAGATATACTTATAATTTTTAGAAATATAAAAGATAATTCTTGGAAACTTATTATCTACTAAACATAAATAATGTATTTATTTTGTCATATAATATATTTTTTAATTTACATCGAACAGTTTAGTATCATTGGTAATTTCATCACAACGATGACAGAATATGTTTATTAAATATTTATATTTCCATATGGCAGGGAACTCATTAAAATCTCTGAATGAAAATATAACAATAAAGCTTTTACAAACTTGAGCGTAGATTTGAACGGGTAGGTAAATGCGACCGAAGTACCTACATCCACTAACAACTTTAAATACTAGAAGCGTTTCGCGTTCCCCACTGAACGTTTCGTCATTCCATATTGTACACTACACCACGTCTGGCGGGCGGGTGCCGGGCTTGTGGACGGGCGTGGGTCCGTCCGGCGCGTACGAGGGGTTGCTGTCCCCTCGCTCCGAGTCTATGTACCCGGCGTTCTCGATGATGCGACACCGAGCCGTATCGCTCTCACGTTCCACATAAATCAGCCGAGCCGGTCTCCCTCCCCCGCTGGTCGACACTCCGCCGGGTGTGGACCGAGTGATGGACCCCTCACGGAGGGCCACCGAACCCCTCTTCCTCTCTGGAGCCGGGGAGCCCCTGTATTCGGAGGTGTCGGGACGCTTGCAGCGCAATAGCTTCGAAAATGCTGCTCGGAATCCGGCATTCTTCCACGCGTATATGATGGGGTTTATTCCTGAGTTAGACATGGCGAGGGATGACGTCAGGCGGTACACTATAGGGTTGTGGAGCCCCACGATGGGTAACGTCTGTGCGCACGACACCACCACGAACGGCATCCAACAGATAGAGAAGGAACCGAGGACGAGGAGCACTACCTGGAATTGAACGTTACATTACGTGATAGGATTGTATTGAATTTAAAGCGAATTATTAAAAACAGAGCATACTCATTTAGGAAACGAATGAAATTAGTTGTTAACATAATCGTCTAATAGTTAATAGTTAAGAGGCGTCTTAATTAATCGGTCAGTTCTGAGTAGTTCGCGGCGTACCTGGATGCTCTTCCAGTCATTAGCGCTGGAGGGGCAGCAGGTGTTGGCCCTCATCCTCCGCGCGTGGCAGGTGGCCTCCCTCCATATCCTCCAGTACAGCACGAACATGACCATCCAGATGAGAGAGAACATCGGAGCCAGGATGCTCGTTGTGTACTTCTTAGGGACCACCTGCAATTATATTCACTGAAGAATTAGAAACATCCACACTATACATATGTATATTACAAATCACATCAAAACTGTACATTTATAATAAGTCCTACATATTGTTTATTATCAATAATCTCTGTTTTATGACTGCTACTGTGGATTTCAATTGTATTTTCTATCAATAATTGATATAGTCACACGCTGTTTTCTATATTGAACATTGTTGTGTTGTGATAACTTTGATCTCATTCGATACTACTATCCGTTATCGGAGCATAATCTATTTTAATAATAATTTTATCACGCTCTCGGCTCATATATATTTTTATAATGCATCCTACGCAGGATAACGTTGTTATATTAGTGACATAAGGACGAAACATTTCGCAGTTATTTTTTAAAGTATAGTTGTTATCAATACGCACGACATTCATTTCGCAACTGACGCCGCTGTGCCAATCGTTCCAAAACATGGGTATACAGCTGATGCACACGGCGACCGTCCACGTGGTGCTCATCAAGAGGCGAGTCACCAGCTTGGTCATGTACCGGCTGTAGTGCAGCGGGTGCACGATGGCGATGTATCTGTAATATTAAAAATGAAATATTAATTCTATATTTACCCAGTCGCTATTTCGAATACAAGCATACGACAATCGATCAAAGTTAGCGTGTCATGTAATTTATTAAGCATCAAACTTGGGTAATGTCGTGAGCGCATGACATAGTATCTCGGTTGAGTCGCGTTCGCTCACCTGTCCACAGCGATGGCGATGATGTTGTAGATGGAGGCGAGGCAGGCGAGTATAATGAGTATGAACCTCATCAAGCACGACCACTTGATCTTGCCGAAGTCGTCGTCGAGGTAGAACACCAGGTGGTAGGGCAGCGTGAGGCCCACCATGAGGTCGGACACGGCCAGGTTGAGCACGAACTGGTTGGAGACGAGCGAGGACAGGCGGCGGCTCATGGTGACGGCGAGCACGGTGAGCGTGTTCCCGCTGATGATGAGCACCATGAGCCCGCCGTCCACGATGCTCCAGGCCCAGAAGTTGTAGAGGTCCGGGCCGCTCGGCTCCGTCGCGTTCCACCACTCCTCGCTGTCATTGGCCACTACCAAGTCCATACCATCGCTGGTCGTGGTCGCCAGCGACCCCCCCTCCCCCTGAGACGACGTCGTCTTTGACTTCACACGTACATTGTCTTTACATTTAAAACCACTCGCGATGACTGCTCACTGTTTCGTATTATACATTTTATTCGTACACACATTATACTTGTTTCCGCTTCTCTCTCATCTGTGATACCTGCGAATTACGACATATTATTTTGTGGATTATATAGACTACACGCTGATTACAGCGGGACAGTACACTACTCGTGACGCTAGTTATTATAAATGAACATGTAGCGATCAAACAGAATTTTGATTATTTATAATTCGAGTGCGGCTCCACACTGCATCATTCATATTTCAAGCTGAGCATGTACTGCTGTGTTTGTGACATTTTAATTCAACGCCAAGTTAAAATTATTGTTTGTACGTCATGAGCAGTACGATTTTGTTTACCTGAAAGCGTTAAATATTTATGAGCCCGTACCGTTGGTACGGTACTATCCCGATTGATCATAATTTGCTTTACATATATATTCACTTGTTTATTCGAATAGTCTCTTAACGTATAATATGCTTTCAGCGGATTAGTCAGACATTCCATATTATAAGTATGCTTTAATATAATAACACTATCTTGCCGAATAATTTCGTTAGTGAATATATAACCTATTTCTATACACGCACTAGTCGACACCGTTACACTAAAGGTCTAGATCACTGGACCAAGGTAAATCGCGGCCGTGTATTCCGATCACATCAACATATTGCACAAATAGCTTCTGATGCCCTTTGGTTCAATGTGAATTAATTCACTTCCCCGACGGCACCTCATCAATATTCCTCAACACGCGATCCACCTGATGGTATTAGATACATGCGAGACTATCCCTCGGACGGTCGACTCCAACATCCACTAGACTAGTCCACGGATTATCATAAACTACTACTATTAAACTAACTAACGGGACCCCGTGATTGCCAAGTTACACAACATGTGTGCTCCTAACAAACACGACTATCGACCTTTGATGTTTGAATAATTGATGACCTTCACAAACATTGATTTAGAAGAAAATTTAATGACATCATTACGGATAACACAATAGTATCAAATGTTGTGTCGCTGTGCTTAATGTGATTTTTGATTCATAGTTATTGAGCGATAGTGAATGCTCCTGCTGTAGTAGCGGCCACGGAGCGTGTGACGCCGCGGTATAGCACCAGTCCGTGTAACATTGTAATGGTCACAGATCGATTAGCTCGAAGGACGGCTCGCTCACTGACTGACATTCAATATTATATACTGGTTTTCTTTATTGGATTAGATTAGCTTTTATTTATAATCCCGCGCTACTATACTTTTAATACATTTGAACGACTGTACCGATGTATTTTGCTTAGCATGGGACATAAATGAAGGTCGCAGTATATATTCCTAATAAATTTTCGAATGCTCAACTACTATAAACGGTTTTGGATATCGGACCAATAAATTTTTATCGCGGAAACGAGGAGGGGGAGGTGTTTATCGCGATTATTTATTATGTCGGGTGTATTAATAAGAGTATAGTTTAATTAGCGCCTTGTGTTATGGGAATGGTCGCCAGCAGACATAAAACCACATAACAGAATCTCAGTGGTCATTTAATCACCCACTTTATTTTATGGGTGACATATTAAATACGTTATTTGCTCTGCTTACAAGGACGTCTAATGTGATTTGTCATAAAAATATTTCGTTTGTCATACAACTTATATTTGATAGCGTTATGTAAACCCCAGGGTAACTGCATGTTTGTTAAATATTTGAAAATCTAAATTTCTCTAAACACGTAACAGCCCCGACCCGAGGGTCAATGTTGTAACTTATCTTCCTTACCGAAATGCTCAACGTAAATCGTAATTAGTGAACCCATTTAAATTTAAAAATATATCTTTGTAGCAATTTCTTCTTCGTAGCTTTGTACAGTTCGGATTAAAAGGTTTGTTTAAAATGAACAAACTCCATTTCAGCATTTTTTTTACATCCGTCGACCTTGATTTGAATTTGGTAGTTGATGGGTTCAGTATTCGGTTCCGTGTTGGTCATGATCTCCTATTAACGACCGCTGCCTCTCATTGCGTGGCGGCACCCTTTCATTAAAAATAATTGTGATGGAACGAATCATCTCCGTTAATCTTAATTGTTTATCTCGATTTACATTGATTCGTGGAGTTTAAAGATTGCCGTTTGATGTCATCGATAATGGCGGCGTTTAGGAGAGGAGCTCCATTATATATAGGCAAAGAATAGTCGCCTGCACGGGAGGGTGACATAAAGAATTCATGTTTCGTGTAGGGGGTGCGGTCGCCGGTCAGGGGTGAGTCCGTCATTACTGATTCATGGTGCGACTCCTGGACTCCCCGCCGATGTTTGGAAGGTGTAACGGGAGGTCACTGATTTATTAAGGTCGTGATCGACGCTCACGGGATAGTCTGTAACCTGCCTGTCACTGACTGAACACATTAATACAGATTCAGTTTTCATTAATTATTCCGTCTTCCGACCGGTCCCGTCACAGTTCATCTTGACGTGCTTCTAAATGTGTTTGAATTTAATTGTTTACAATTTTAACCGTGTATAAATAATGTAATAACGGCAAACATAGATACAATTACGCGACTTTAATTATCCTGTTATTATCTTTGGATATACGTAAATGTTTCTCACATCGGGTCCCCCGAGGGTATGAGCAGAGGTAATAGAAAACTCAAAATGTTAGGAGTTCAAACAAAGGGTACAGAGAAACGAAACCATCGCTAAAATGTTAGTATGTGACTGGTAACTAATATAAATGAGTTTTTTTTAAGTGTATTGTTTGTCGTATGTAAATTATTGAAGTGTGAACGTTGTTCGTTGCTACTCGTCGTTGTTCGTACCGAGCTCATGTTTTCGTCGCGATATTTAACGAATCCATCAATAACATGAAGCGGGGATCATATTGAACGGTTAGGAGTATTGAAGCTTGTTTTATGTTCCTAGTGAAGGAATTTCTTCCCCTTTATATGTCCCCCCGTGTTTGTAAGCCATTATTGAATTACTTTTTGATATCTGCCATGACGTCGCCGCTCGTCGTATATCACGAAATTTCATTAATATGTTATACTTCCATTCGGAGTACGCTCCGCTGTCGATTTGATCTGATTCTGGCCTAGCTACTGAGATTCATAGATGTAAAAACTACTTTGACTTATTAGAGTTTATTATAAACTTGATCTCATTTTAATTTAAATGGAAATGTTCCAAAATATTATCATAAGTTTCAGTTGTTTTCGTTCTTTTACAAATTAACTAACTCACTGCCAGTTTAGTCTGTATTATTAATAAAGAAAACATCGTAAACATATCTAAAAGCTTAATATCTGAATGTACCGAGTCCACGTTCTTTGTAATATTTTACAACAGGTATAAGAAAACTTAGTTCTCAAACTACAAACTCGTTCCTCTCGTAAATAATACAGCTAAAATTTATAATTGTGTTATAACTTTTTTACATTCCGCCATCTGGTGTTATTTTTCCACTCGCTATTGTCAAATATAAAGTAAGGTGAATCTGTTAGTGTAAGTAATGATGATGGATGTATCAATGTATATTGTAAGAAGAGTTTCCAAGTGTTATTCTCTGTACATCCGTGTCCCTGTTCCCAGCGCGTTGCCCGCCTCGTCACAAGACGTCGTGTTATCAAATATTTCCGAGATCATTGTGATATCCGTTAACAATAGCTGTGTTTGTGTCGCCGCCCGCCGGCCGCCTGAATGCCTCTATGAATCACTAATATGTTCACTTTGTGTTCATTACGCGTGAAATGAGTTTTGAATCTGGACTTCAACTCTAGTGTTGCTTGTTGACCTGCCCTTGTATAGCTTTGAATTTAATATTTCATGTATGTTTCTCAAACCTCTATATTTATGATAGATGTTGAAATATTTTTCCATATAAATTTAAGTAAACATTTGTTTTGTTTGCTTTTGGTTCTATTGTTTTTGTTTTATAGAGAACTGTATATATTAATAGGTTGTTCGCAGGTTGTATACTAACTTGAAATGTTATTTGATTAAGAATTTTTAATTGCTTCCAAACTTTAACTAGAAAACTGCATCGAAGTTTTGCGTTAGTTACATATTTATGTTACTCTCGGGAAATTAGTTTTAATTCATTAATTAAATTTCTTTGGTAATATCCAAGATTTATAAAGTCGGTTTTGATTTAAATTACATTATAATTATATTGTCGTCGCGTTCATAACATGTAGATAAATTATTGTATAGTTTTAAAGTGTGAGGAAATAAACAGACTTATAAAATGCATCAGTGACGTAGCTATCTTCTGCAGTTGTAAGAATCGTATTTCGCGGCTTTTCCTGCTCGGAATTTCCCTTTATTGGTTGGCCTGGCTTGTTTACAATGCATTTCAAATAAAGATTCCTTTCATATGGAATCCAATTTCTCGTATACTTTATATCTCCTCGTAGGTTGTTTCGTAATTGAGATTAAAACTTTATCATTGTTATAAAGAAGAGTAGGATTAATTTAAAGATATTTTATTTAATAGCATTCGATTGTGTCGTCTATTACCGAACAGTTCTGTTATACGAAATGTTAAATATAATTCTTACGTCAGTAACTCCGCCTTAATACCGTCGTATCAAGCTTTAAGTTGCTACTCCGAAGGTCTGAAGGCGGCAGCTGATGTTATCAATAGTGACGTTAGTGATAAACAGACTTACAGCTTTAACACGTACAAATGGAACTCTATTATTATATTATTATTATAGGCAAGAGTAATTCAAGCGATGCATTACCGGCCTGGCTTAGTGTTGAATAACATATATACAACATTGCAGTAGCTTCAATAACGTTGAATTGCATTCGACTGCATTAGCTCCCGCGGAACATCTGGTGAGATAAGAACGCTCGATTCCAGATTCATATTAAATGTACACGGGTTACGATCACCGGCCAAGGTCACGCCGCTCCACATTGCATCCCCAAGCATTCCTCTCCCGCTACCATGGACATATAAACAGTAACAATGAACCTACCGCGACACAGACCACGTCCCAGCTGTTATAATACTTTTGAATGCGCTCAGTTTTCGTTAATATCGAACATTGTTTAAAAATAAAGTTGAATGCCGCGATAAAATTTGGAGCAAATCGAGCTGTTACATAAGTGGGGTTGGGGTGTAGCCTGACGGGTTACGTAAGGACGTCTGGATGTATAACTGCGAACTATGGGGGCCAGTCGGAATCGTATCTGGAGTATTATGATGGAGCCACCCTCGCGCCCTCCCGCCCCGCCACATTAACGTATTGAATGCATCTCACGTTCAGACGGCCGATGCACATTTTAATTGCGATAACTGAGTTTGTTATGTATTATTAAAAAAATGTACAGCTATAAAACATGGTGATGTATATGTATGTGTGTTGTATGTGAGTCGTACTGTGTTTTGGACAAGATTGCTTTGTAAACACTCTTGTGTCCCCGGCACGGTAGCGATCCTTCCATCGTCAATATTTACCTCGACGTAGCCATTCGCGTTACTCTGAAACCGATGTACTTCCCGCCAAAACAATGTTTAAACATCACAATACTGCCGAGTCGCACACGGACCTGTATCCCACATCAAATTTAATGGCACTGTTTGTTAGAGTTTACACGACGGCTACATACAGTCCGCAACGACGAGGATCAACAGCAGCGGGAGTCAGCGGGGTGCAGGAGACGGGAGGTCGGTGAGAGGGCATGTACGAGCGCCTCGGCGGACGGCACGCGACTAATGTAGCGGGCAGGCGGCGAGCGGCGGCCGGCGGCAAGCGATCAAACAAACTTGAATTAGGAGGCCTCTGGCACTGGCACTGGCACTGGAACACTACGCTGCCAAAGGTCGGAGTTTTAGTGTTGCTCGAAGGGGAAAGTTTTGTTTATTTTTGATCCTTCGTTTTTTCTCTATTATTATCGCTCTGTATCGCCAAAGTTTAGTTTCAGACCGCTCTCTCTCTGTTCGTGTTTTCTTTACAGTGGATGTTTTTTTGTGTCCTTGTTAAAGCTCGGTTTGTAAATTATATCGTGTCAACATATGTGTTATTTTAAACATGTACACGTGTTTGTATATAGCGAGTGTATGTGAGTGTATGTGTGTGTGTGTTGAAAAGTAATATTTTCAACGTTTAAATTCAAGGTGCATAAGTTTCTGGGTCAACAGCGGATTCAGACAGTCAAAGAGCGTCGGGGAACGTTAAAGTATTCTGTGACATTTGAAGTCACAAATAACGTTTATATGATTTAATGTTCTGAAACATTATTTAAACCATATAAAGAATTATATTGAAATATATACATAGTTTGTAATTTTATTAAGTTGAACTTATAATATATATTTGAAAGCGTTTTCAGACTCAATCTTTTATACTAAGTACTTCGTGATGCTAATTTAAGTTTATTATTTATAATGTACTACAAATTGTTAAAAATCTCTGTTCATCATACTGCATACACCATCTTATATAAATTTAAACAAATCATATTTCAAACTGGTGATATTAAAAATACGAAATACATATATGCTTCGGTTTTGGTTACACTTTTGGTGATTTCTATCTTATATATGAAGTTTGTCATGTATCAGTTAGAAGTAAAATCATTAAAAGTTTAGAAATCTTATACGTAATATATTATAAGACATGTTTTTAATTTTTCTTTTCACGATCACGACGTATCTTGTTCATCGTTCAAGTAGCTGTTCTTAACCGGTCAACTCAACACGTTTATAATATTATGTATTTACATGTTGTGGTTCTAATATTAGTTTATATCTTACAATACATCTAGTTAGTGTAATTTAAAATATTAAAACCAATAATATATAGCGTCTAATATAACGCACTAATGATATTTATACACTTCCATTGTACTCCTGTTTCTTTTGAATCACAATTTAATAATTTTCACTACATAACATTACATAAAAGGTTTCTATAAATTGTTTCATATAATATATTGTCCTTAGCAAGTTCTTTACTTAACATTAACAAAAGGTTTCAGTATTTTTTTATTTTATATATCTATATAAGACACTATTAGTTACTTTTACATAATAGTAATAAGTTAATTGTATGCCCCGTTTCCATTTGTAACAAAACTATCTTTAGTGTTTGAAGTAATTGAGACCCGTTTTGTAATCGATCATTTTATTCAATCATCTATTTACTATATATATATTTTGATATACATATACAATAATTTATTTCTTTCTGTAACAAAGTATATATTTTTTGCATACAAGACGGATATACTAGAAATAAAATTAAGTGTAAATTGTTAGTCACTCGCCTTTTATAAAAAAATTCTATATCTATGTCTTCATTGAATATAAAGTTATTGATTATAACAAAACTTTAGTTACAACAGCGTCTTGTGAATGGATTTAATTCTGAGAACTTGTATTATTGTAGAATATCAAAACAGACAAACAGTTTGCACAACTGTTCGTGAAATGAATGCTGGTCTTAAATACGACTTGTGTTTGTGTTCTTCATAGTCTGAGGAAAGTTATTGTATTAACTCTGTTTAATATAAACTATATTTGCACTTAGGAAGGCATTTTTATCTAATATTGCTCGTTTGAGGAGAGTGGAGATTTTTAAATATTATGATATTTTTTCACGCTCCTTGGACCACGACCATCTTAATTCTCAGATGTTTCGTCTTATAGACAATTACAGATAAGAGATAAGTTCTCATTATGTACATTTATACTTTTAAGATTTCAGCTTCAGTCTGCTAGTTGTGTTTCAGACTGTATGTTATATATTTTAGAGTACATTTTCGTGTGTGTGTCGTCTGAAGGGCGGCGATGTTGCGGTACTTTTTATTTTGTGTAATAAGTTCGCTGTCAACAACACAGCTCCGTCCGTCCAAATATATATTTTAATATAAGTTTTTTCAAGTTTTTTCTAGTATGTCGTGATTTAATTGATAAGTGAGGAATATCTAAGCTAGAATATAACCAGAGGGTCGGTGAAGCGGGAGCGTCATTAATTATTCTCGTTAATTATTAAAGCCGAGTGTTGGCTGATTATTTAGAGTCGAACGGTCGACAAGTAGACTCGTGTGATAATGTATGTTGTTTCATTGCTGATACTCTGATAATTTTATCAAATGAAAGGATAATTAACTCAATATCATGAAAAAGGTGTCTCGGTTTTGTAAGGATCTCTTTTTGAAAGCTCATTGTTAAACTCTGTCTCCGTAACTCATTTCCTCTAACAGGACCGTCATTATGAATTATTTTTTGCATTCATTATATAATTTTAAATATATTTAATAGACGATGCTTGGACTTGGGTCTTATTGGTTCCGCAATTCCCCTACTACTGTGTATGAAGATATTCTTATACATATATAAATGACTACTGTCGAGATACATTTTATTTTACAATAATTACAATAACCGACACTCTTTGTAGTTATATAATAAAGCATCATCTGCCCTTCTAAAGCTATAGTTTTGTATTATAAATGTCTCATCTCACTTGTATTTTAAACCCGTTTTTAACCCCTGATGATAAATGATAGGTGTTGTGTGTATGTGTGTGTTTTTGTCTCTGTCATCGTACCTCCTAAAAAGATAGACCGGTTTCGATGCAGTTTTTGTCATTAGAAAACCAGTAAGTAAAATAAATTTAAGTATTCCGCCATATAGTATAATGGTTAAACAACAATTAACGCATAGGGTTTTACTTAACTTGTATAACATTTAGTTGTTATATAACACGGTTATGAAACTTGTAATGATATTCGGAACTCCAGCACGAGGTTTAAGTTGTGTAACTGTTGTTCAGGTTGAGGGTAATGGGTTGTGGGTGTTGTGGGGAACATTGACTGTAACCTGTTACCCGGGTACACTTGTTACTTGTTCACTATGTGGGGCTGTTGTTACCGAACGGCTAAAGTCACTATAATCACGTCATATGATTATTTTAAGAGATTTAAGTATATTATTATAGATTAATATAGAACATAAATAACAATAGTTATAGTCAGTGGTGGTCTAGTGGTTGAAGGGCCCGCCTCTCGTTGCCGAGGGCGCGGGTTCGATCCTGGCCCGGGCAAGTACCAATGTGATTTTTCCGAGTCATATGTACTTTCTAAGAGTATTTAGACATCACTGATTAATGTTGATTCCCAAAAAGAGGGTTGATGTCAGGCAGGCGGTCGGTCGTAAGAACAAATAGCTAAAACTATTCACAACATGTAAGGCAGACCCTGGCTATAGCTGGGAAATTGCCAGGTAGAAGAAGATATAACAATAGTTCTTCCATATAATAAATGAAAGTGTAGAGCTGTCGTTTCCACACAGTTCTTTCAGTACATTTGTTCGTATACATTCTACAGCCACTAACAGATAAAACTAGTGTTCTGGATGTACGCCAGCCACTCGCGAACACTTTCTCTACGAGCCACCTCCTCCTCCACAATATACGGGATTATTATCAATAAAATACATTGTAATGCCATATATATACTTCATTATATACGTGTGTATGTTTGTGAGACTGGAGTTACTAAATAAAAATGGAGTCGTTTTAATAATTAAGTTTTGTATGAAATAAACTTAATAAATTACCATAACTTGATTACAGTTGTAGTCAGTGTAATATTGATTCCCTTTTAAACTGATTGGATAACATTATGTACCTCGCCTCTATCTTGTTATTAATCGGTTGTTTCGTCTGAAGAATTAGTTCTGTTCAAACGAATTATAGTTACAAAGTTACTTCGTTTTTTATTACTGATTACTAATTAGAACATTTATCTGTTTCAGGTAAGTTACTTTGTATACATCGAGGTTTCGGTGAGTTTTAGTTGATATAAAGACTGTCATAAAGTCTTTAACTATGAGGTCTGTTAAAACGATTAACTTTGTATAAGAGATGCTGGTCTGCCTTAAACCTGTAGATAAAATACGTAGCATCAGCGACTATTAAACATGGAGTGGACGCTTCGGTTTCCTGTTTATAGCCTGATAACGGCATGCGACAGACACGACGAGCTCTTATTGCTATAGTTATAGAGTGTAATTTACAACAGCGGGTGCGGTTGTCTTGGGGTCGCGGTGGACCCCGGTGGCGCGGAGCCAACTCGTTACAATGTCAATGGCACGCGTCGAACAGATTGCATGAGTTTATTTGGCGATGGAAACAAGTTATAAATAACCTTGGATAAAAATACAACGTAACTCTCAGTTAAGAATCTTCTTGGTTATTTAAGTTTCATCTGTAACTTTCACGAGTTTGTTTTGTCATATTGTGAATGATGAAAATCCTGTTTTGTTTAATAATATTTCTTCTTAAAGCAGCTGCAACACAGGGCGGCGTAGTAAACAATAGATAGGAATCTGTTAGCCAAATATACATAGTTTCAAAACATAGTTTCTGAACTATTATAAATGACGTACTTTAACATATTTATCTTACTACTTAAAGCAATTATAGTTTCGTGTATTGGATAACGAAATAAGAACATGTTTTAAATATTGATATACGATTAATATCAAAATGAGAAAGTTAGTTCATCGTAGTACATACATATGTAGTATTCTTATTAGTGTCGTTGATTACAATTCAATTATTACCAGAGGTCTCCTTAAAGCGTACTCTTTCTCTGTACATGATGCAGCGTGCTCGTTCTGTTGACCTTATGTTAAAGTCCCTCATTACTCTCGTAAACTCTGGCTCGTAACTTTTTAACTTTGATATGAAATTATAAAACGATGTTAATCCACATGTAATCCGGCTTATGCTTGTTACTGTTACATATGTTTTAATACCATTATAGGTATATTTTTTATATGCAATAATATAATTTCTTCATCTCGTCAGTCTGTAAATTCTCCTGCCGGTGGCCCAACATTGAGGTCGGTGTGTCGCGCACGGAATCCTAAATGCTAAGAATGTCATGTGTTCCGTACACGTAGGCTTCAAGTAGGCATGTAATGCGTGTTTAACGTCGGAAGCGAGAGGCTCCGCGTTCAGGATTACTAAGGGGGTTGGGGAAGGGGGGGGTTACTGGTTAATGTTTCAGAAATAACACGATACCATGTATTATATTACTCATACTTAACGTTTGGGAGGATTTGAACAGAAATATTGTATTCAAGTACGAATGGTATTTAAAAAAATATTTTGAGTTTGAGTATATCTTTATATCGTTTTCGTACATAACTTCCTGTAAGAAGTCTTAGTATATTTTATATATAGATGTACAGTTCCTCCTCTTTTTTCCTTATTGTTCTATGTTTGAATGAATTAAATTATATTGAAATTTGATATCGTATAATTAGATTTTCTTTGCGCTGAGTTTTATCAAACAATATCGGGAACAATCATCGATCTATTTGTGTTGGTGTGATGTCTACCAGATCTGTTGTATTGTCACGTCATTAACATTCTCTTTACAATATATTTATAAAATATGTACCTTATTATCTTTATATATTAAAGTATGATAATCGCTCGTTATTTCTATAAAATTTTTCCTGTATCTTTTTTGAAATCTGAATATTTCATAAATCTATTGCGACATGAGGTAACCGTACTTCATACGACTACTGTTTTCGTTTCGCGAGCATTTATTTTTAATTTTTTATATTATAAGAACGTTTGAGTGTTTTATTATGTACCAAATATAAGAATAAATTATCTCTTCTTAATAATAATTATGCAGAATAATTTTTTAATTAAGCTCAATTTCACAGTAATATATTTGGACTCATCAAAAAGGAATATTATACTGACATCTAATTTTTCATAAGACCTGTTTAAATACGGCGAGACGAGAGTTGTTCACAAAATTAAGTCTCGATCGATATTGTTCTAAAACAGTTTTATACGGTAATATATAAGTATATATTATATACATCCTACGGCGAGCAGGTTGTATTGGAAAGCAATCTACATATTTGAAGCAAATGGGATGCTGGCTTTGTTTGTTGAAACAGAACCTCTCGCGACACGCTCACTGTCTGTTAACTATAGAACTTACAGTCGGTAACGACGAAACTAATGATTTATTATTCATTTATGAAAATGTGAAAATTCATACATAATAACGGGATATTAATAATAAGCCTGTCTTAGAATAACTTTTTTAATTAATCTAGGTACTAACAGATGTTGTGTAACGACAGTACTGACAATGCTTTACTTGTTTCATCTCGTGTGTTCATTTTTATTTATAATTTTATTGAATTTTTTAATATTGTTTCATTCACCTTCAAATGCATCTACCATCGATTTTTTTTGCCAATGTATTTAAGAACGTGTCGAATATGGGGTTGTTACATTTGGAACTCTTAAATACTGTTATAAACCTTATAATAAATGTTGCCAGGTTTCCATGACTATACACTAGGCACTAGCACGTATATGTATGTATAAGGTAATAAAATCAAAATTTGTTTGTTTACTTCCTCTAAAGCGAAACAATTCGCCTGGTTCAGCTATACATTTTTAACTATTAAACTAACGCGGACAAAAATTAGTATATAATAATGATTATTATCACAATTCATGTTGCTATACTTGTCGTACATCGTTAAAGCCTCGCTCCACTCGCCGGTCACGTTTTTTATTCGGAGACGAGCCGCGGGGCTCACGTTATAATTGTTATTCAAATACAACAATATACATATATATATACAATTTTAAAATGACTATTAAAATACTGAGGCGGTTTATGTTTGTACGTTTGAATTATGTAATTCATATAATTACTTGTATACCTTCTCAGGTTAGTGATAATTTTATTAGTTAGTGTTAGTTTTATTAACTAAATTTTTAGTTTGAGTTTGAAATAACACACGTAAACATCAATGAAACCTCTCATCATCCCACGTATTCGACGTGCGGGTGCCTGGTTCATAGTTGTAGTGAGAGGAGCTTCAACAGTGACTGGGACTTGTGACCCAGGTGTAGGTTTAAGGAACCCTTATCTAACGCGCGTTATACGCTCACCTCCACTGTCCAAGCTCCTCTCTCTACCAAATTTGAAAAGAACCTACTAGGGCTGCCTTCGACGTACGTTCCAAGAATGAATTAATGTTAGTTCTGGATAGACCTAAATCTTTTAGTAGGTTGTAGAGAGATTTAAATGTTTTACCTCTCGCTCCCATTTCTACTGCATATAAATCCACGAAGACTATTCCAAGTAATATAGTATAAGTAATTCCATATGAAATCTGTTTTAAAACTGTTTATCTTTAATCACGTAGCACTCTGCTACGTTCCCGTAGACGTCTACGGTGTTCGTAGAGTCTCGTAGCAACGTGTGATGTATCATTTGAAGGAGACGTCTACAAGTTTATATTAGTAATGATTTTGAACTTTACATTTTAAAAAGTTTTTGTATATATATGTTATATTTTTATTCGAATAGTATGTCGGATTTAAGTAATTATTCCATTGTGTTGTTAAACTTTAATCAATGAAATGTTATTCTATATATGTATGTATATATAATAATCAGTTTTATTTTTTTCCATAAACCAATTGTAAGTTATTAAATCAACACTGAAATGCCTGTTCAAGGTCGCCTCACGACCAGTACAACGTGTTTTGGAGGCATCGATTAAATTAATGGCTCCTTTCTGTATCGCAATTATTAGGTTCTTTGTCATAGGAAATTGTATGTTATGATTGAAAAACACTTTTTTATTTTTGATTAAAAATTTTGGTATTTTCGTTATATATTATACATAGTAATAAATACATTAAATTATAGTCACATCTGGTAGTATGAGTAGTGTAGACTGATTAATTACTGCTAGGAAGAAATGCTACTCGAAATCTTCATTAGTAGGAAAAACCGAAATTAATTCATTTAGAGTTTGTTAGAGTCCAAGGACTTACAGTCTTCATTATAACAAATTGTATCTTTAATAATAATATATTCCTTTTGTTATAAAGACTTTTCCTCTCATATTGACAAGTGAAGCTCGTACGTCAAATACGAAGGTTTGAAGGTCCCGTGAGCTGAATGATGACTATTAACAGATAATGAACAGCTGCTCATACATAACGATGTCATTATATAATATTATAATATGAATTGAAAAAGATTATAATACCCTTCACAAATAACACGCTTTGTAAATTATTCGCAAGAGATTGTTATATTTAATTTTATATACTAGCTATAGCCACGACTTTGCTCTAAAACAAGGTTTTTTTGTATTTTATATATCAGATTTATTAATATTTCTTAAACGAAAGTAACTGAAGTTATTCTTTACGACTATGTATTAGGAAAAGTCTCATCAAAATCAGTCCATATGTTTCAGAAGTTATATTACAAAAACATTATATATACAATTCTATTTTGATTGCGTATACTTTTAAAGTTTCTAAATATACAAAGCTATATGCCAGTTGCCAAAAATACTTAGCATCAAAGTTGGCTCTGTTTCAGTGTAATTAAAACAATACTTGTTACTTCTGTTCAAGTAAAACCGCCCGAAGTTTAGTTTCCATCTCAGTGAAGTAATCTCTGAGTCGAATTTTATATATTACGTGAGTGTGATTCATATTTACGTGATTTATATTTCACGTTACGATAGAATTAAAACAAAATAATTGATTAGTATCTATAGGGTATCAAGTCTTGAGGCCTGATGATTGTATAATGACCTTGAGCTAGAATTAAATGGTTGGTCGATAGATTTGAACCGACTTGAAAAGTTAGAACTGACTGAACTTAATATATACTTATGTTAAATAAAAACTTCATTATGATTTGATGATTTTTTTTTGTATTTAGTAACAAAAATATCGAATAAAATTGTCTTAGATCAAATTTCAATAAAATTATACGTATGGAAAAATATTTTTGTTATAGAAGCGATCTCATTGAGTCCCGTTGCAATGAAAGTTATCAAGAAAATGTTCAAGATAATATTTTTCCTAGAAATATGTTGAATTATTTTCTACATCAGAGTTGTAAACCTTAATGATTACCTGAAGGGAACAAAGGTAAACTAAAGATATATTTATAGAAGGTAAATATATATTTCTATAATTATAAAATAAATATTTACCTCAAATTATAGTTCCCTTTCCAATTATTTCGTGATAATTAAGATGGC